AAACATTTTCTTGGTGCGTCTTATACAACTATGCAATTTAAATGTGGCTTTTTAAGAAAAAAAAGTTTACAGTGTGACACCATTTTTTATGAGCCGCATGCCATATTTCGTAGAGCACCGTAACTACATAGCCATAGGTAGTGTTGCCCCTTCCAAGAGGTACTGCTGTCGCCACATTCTGCTACACTTTTCATTAACCGACTCAGAAAGCGAGAAATTTGGCAGTTTCCCCGAAGCAGCTTAATATGGGCAAGGTAGTGAGAATAAAGCTTTTACAGCATGTGATCGACGTTGCCTAATCCAGGTATGGTTCCGCATTTTTTTTGCTTTAATCTAGTAACACTGAAAGGTAAGTGGGCTGGTATACATGCATTCCAGAAAATTTTCTCGTGTCTTTCTTAGTTTCTGTTTGATGAGCAGTTTTTTATCTGCCATGCTCCAGCCATGTTGCTACATGTAAAAGGAAAGATTGCGGCTCGCTGATATTTCAGTGGTACCGAAAGAAGTGTATCAAGATTTATCTACCTGCCTGTTCGTTGATGCTCGTGCCGTCTACGTGACTTGGCCTAGACTAGGCCTAGTGGTCCAAAGCCTGGTTCATGAGTGTCTGGCATGTTAAACTTTTGTTTTCTCAGCATGTGTACACTTGAATAAACCCAACTACTTCCCGATTTTGCAAGTTTTACGTCCTTTTGCTGCGAAACACTCGATTGCCCCCACTGGACAGCGCCGAGCTATGAGCATTTCTCACGAGTTGAAACGTCAAAGTAGTTGCATGTCAAATGGCACGTGTGAACTAGCCAATCGTGCGAAACACCAAATTTGCAATACCAATGTGCGTAAACAAAAAAAAATTAACCATGTGAACCATGGAATGGCAACTTTTCTGTGAAAACGGACTAATATACGTAGGAGCGACTTATACAAAGGTGCAACTTAGAGCCCGAAAAATATGGTACCCAAGCAAATAGCATTTTCTGAATTACCCGGGCTTTAGTTTTCATGACATGCTATTTATTGTCTTGAAATTCAAGATAGCTATTGAGAAAACCATAAATGAAGGTGGTGTCGAAACCAACATTCAAATTTCCTTGCTCTCCAGTGGTGCAACGTCACAAATGGTAGACTTTCATTTGCACAGGTAGTTTTAAACAGAATATGTTGAGCGTTTTTTTCTGCTACTCAGTGAACGAGTTTCCAATCATTCTTATCCCAAAATCACTCTTGTATTCAGTCGGGAATGTGGTTTACTGCCCACTTTGTAGCATTTCTGTCATCAGACTTCAGTGTTGCCCCCTAGTAGGGGCTCTCAGTAAAAAAAAAACACAATGAGAATGAAATTAAAAAATTCAACAACTTCGCCATTTTTTTTTTTTTTACACAATATTTGGGGGACTGGTACAGCCGTGTCTATTGGTGTGTTCAGTCAATTTTGAGGCAAATCAGCGACCATAATATTGCTGGAGGGGTACTCTGGCATTTTCCTCATAGTCCCCGATTTGCCTGAAAATTTGCTAAACACACCAACAAATATTGCTGAAAGAGTAACGTACATATTGGGCCAAAGAGACATTTCTTATTTTTTGCAACGCTATTGAATTTACTATTTCGGTCCTCACCATGTTTTTCAAAGTGAAAGTCTCTACTGGCAACAATGAAAAAGTGACGTCAGCAGAAGGCAGGTATTCACTCTTTGGACTGTATACTTTGTTCCCAACTGATTGAAAGCAAATTTCATGGTGTCAAATGAATGCTGGGAAGCTTGCTCTAGCACCCGTGCGGTAGCAGCACGAAACAAATGCTTGGCATAGTCCATTTTTAGGCTGCCCGCTAAACCTGCAAGCCTGGCTCCCCTCTACGTCATGGCACTGAAAAGTGCAGGTATATTTGAATGTTGGTTTTTGCATCATTTTCACTAGCCAATTTCACAATAACTATTCTGAATTTTGCGATACAAAATAGCATACCAGAAGGGGTAAAGGCCGGTGATTCTAAAATATTTAGTCAGTTGGGGTAGTTTAAAAGATCGCAGGAGTACCTCTTTAAAACCAGCTTTTTCTTTCAAAATTTTTGTGCTAATTCCAACCAGAACAAAACCAAGTAAAATAGTAGCATAATCAAAAAAGACATAAAAAAAAATTACTATACCTGTTTTCACCTCAAGAACCGAAGTAAAACAAGTCCGGCTCCTCGCGGAGCATTACTAATTTCCCAGTTTATGTGGATAATTAAGACATATGTAGATGAATTTTAGATTATATATATGCTATCTTACCAAGACGCACACGTTCCAAACGCCAAAAGCGTCGCTCTTTCCTCCAACAACCAAATCTCGTAAAAACTACTTCGCGCCGCGTATGAACAATGCGCAAAACTTGCTTTTTTCTTGAGGTGAAAACGGGTATAGTACATAAAAAATTTAAAAAATTTTGCATGTTTTTTTTTTAATAATTTGGGGGTTGAAGGGTTAACACATCAAATATCTGGCCATTTTAGTTCACTCAAATCTGGCCTGAGTGCTACTACATCAGCAGACAACACAATTTTTTCTAATCAGAATCTTGGAAGTGAGTTGAGTGAGTTGTTCAAGTACTGGAATCACGCCCTTGGGCCGGAATCCAATTGGGTTATTAATGCGAAAGCATTAACTGTCACATGGAGCGAACCGACGTTATCAGCTTTTGAAGCTGCACCAAACGGCAGAGGTCGGCATTTTAGGTCGCCCTCACCCTCACAGCCACAGTCACCTAAGCCCCTCACTCACTCTCACCCTCACAGCTAGTCACCCTCAGCCCCTCACTCAACCTCATCCTTACAGTCACACCTACCTTCAGCCCTTCACTCACCCTCTTGGCCCTCACGTACTCATACCCCTCACGCTCATGAATTTTTTTTGGTCCAGAAACTCAGTCACCCTCACCTCACTTATGAAGATGAGGGTGAGTGAGGGCCCTCATGAGTAAGCTTTGTCGAGGTATGCCAGCAGGACGCCACCCGTTCACCGGCGCCTCTCAGTCGAAAGCGGCGAGCAAGCTTCTGACCATTCCAACTCAGCTTCCTTTTTTCTCTCAAACGTAATGAAGAAAACGGCCAACCAAACGTCGGTTGCACTCACAGTACCAAGCAGCGAGCCTTAGCTTGCACTAACTCCTTCCTTCTCACCCGTTACCAAATAATCAAACCGCACCAAGCATTCGTGCGGCAACATTGTTGCGAGGCGAGCGTCGACCCCCCTTCCCGGGAGATGCCGCAAGAGGTCACAATACCCGTGCGACCCCTCATATATACTCTATGCCCTCAAGCAAAATCAGGCCTCACAGAGAACTCCTCGTCTCGCACAAGCCCCACACGCAAACGCAAGAGCTTTATTTGAGCTCAGAACCCTCACGAACTGATGCCACCTACTCCTTCCACGGCCCTTACACCCCTCACGCACTCACGGTCCTCACACACTCATAACCCTTGTGCACTCGCTGCCCTCACGCGGCCCCCCCCCCCCCCCAACCCCCAATGCACTCATGTCCTTCACCAACTTACTAGCCTCACACCCCTTACGGTCCCTCAAGCCCCTCGCATAATCATACCCTTCATGGTCCTCACACCCCTCACAACTCTCACGCACTCACGCCATACCCATCACACACTCACGGCCCTCACACCCCCCACGATCCTCACTCATGCTCATACTCATGCATTTTCAGGGTTCACGAGACTCACTCACCCTAACCTCACCTGTGAAGGTAAGTGAGGGTGAGTGAGGGCTCTCATGAGTGAGGTTTGCCAAGGTATGCCAAACGGCACCTTCCCCTGTCCCAATAGAGTGACTTATAGAGGACAAGAGCACAAAAGACACAAACAAGTAGAAGAACAGGACAAAGCACTTTATCCTGTCCTGTCCTGTTCTTCAACTTGTCCGTGTTTTTTGCGCTCTTGTCCTCTTCAATGCATTACCAACTAGCCCAGCAGTTAATTCCGATCCAATGGAGTGAAGCCTGTCGTTTGTAGCAGAAACCTGATGGAAAGGCTCCCATTGGCTGGCGCGCGTCATAGTTTCAAGGAACAAGGCTCCTATTGGCTCTCGTGCAACGTAGTTCCAAGGAACGCCACCAGAGAAGCCCTCTCCATGGTGGCGCAGCGCACGCAGTGACCCGGCAGCCGGTAAGAGGTGCGGGCCAGGCTGCAGAGCCCGCACGGGCAAACTCCGGAGAGGATGCACGGCCGAGCTCAGCGCGGCGCAGTCACTTCACGAGTGCGCGCCCTCGGCAATCGGCCACTACCTCGGCAGTAGTGAAAAGTGGCCGTCCACACCAGTACACTGCAGACAAACTAAGGGAGCGGAAAAACTACATTCATGCTTTCGCATTCACAACTCATAAGAAATGCTTAAATGTCCTCAGAATTTTCTTTTTTACGTACCACACTCAGGCCAAAAACCTTACAACCAAATAATAGGATGATGTTCTGTAGTTGCCCTTTATTGCTATCTCCGGCAGAAATGTCTATGGCACAAAACTCTACAGGGCTAACCGTGTTTGTAGAGGCTTAAAAATTTGAAAAGAAAAGCCCTGCTGGTCAAAGGAACCTACTATCACAGACAAAATGAGTGTGAACAACTCAGCATGCTTCTTTGGCATACCTGTCAGTTTTTCCAGCAAGCTCTGATCCAGATTAGAGGAGGAACAAAGTTTAGGTTCCAGTCTAGCAATTCTTACAAATTCAAATATGGAGCTAGTAGGGACCACAAACATAGAGGGTGGTACACAGTTTCATTTTCTGTCCCTGAAGGCCTACAAGTATGTCTAGATGTTGAGGGTAACAGGCATCCCGAAAGTACCTGTTGGGATATTTGATTGTTGTAAACAAGAACTACAAGTATGAGCAAAAGCTGTCAAAAATCATCTCCATTCAATAAAAAAAAACAATTTGAACAACAAATACACCATTTGTACCCTGTTTTCATTCGAGACCTCCAAGTAAACGAATTGCACAGTGAAACTCACCAGCTGTCAACTCCCACAGGACCTTGTCAACTTCTTCTTGTGCCTCTTCTTCCAATTCCTCCTGGTCGTCGAGACCCTCCATTGTGTCTTCTAACATCTCCTCTATGATTCCAGCCTGCGAGAGAACAGCTCTATCCTAAGTAACGCACATTCAACCAGACTGCCCGTGCGACCACACCACTTATCGGCACAATTTGTCAAGCATTCAGAGAAAGTCGTTGGCGACACTTCATTACACTGGCCATGGCAGAGGTGCAGAACCCACCCTCATCATTTCCTTGGACAAGTCTCGCATTGTCTGAGCCACTTCTGGGATTTTGATGAGCTGCTGCATGCTTTTCATCACCTCGGTACTCCGCTGGAGCGAGCCAGCCAGCCGGAGAGTTGCTGCAATAGGTGTCACCACTATCGCTATCGCCAGGTTCACGTCTCTCACGTTCAAACAAGGAGCAGAAAAATTATTATCCTTACCCAGCTGATGATTCATGCTCATCACCACCGAGTTCAGCTGAGCTTTGGAGGCGTGTATTCTGTTGATAGCCTTGCGGGCACGGATCACTTCTTTGGCCAGGATGTGGCAGACGTCCTGTTCATTTTTCTTTGCTGCCTCTTTCAGCGACTTCTTCACGCCTTCCTCCTGCCGCTGGATAGCTGTCGAGTTTCGTCGTCGATTAGGTGTGGTCCCTTAACAGGCTGGCTTCTGCTCGCACCACCAAGATGCTAAGCCTGGCGTACCCCTCAACACCCCAAAGTTAACCACAGTGCGAAGTATTCGCGTAACAGCGATGTGGTTAAATTATAAAAAGCAGCAATGATACCGGTAAACACGGTTCTACAGAGGAGGTATCCACAACTGGCACTGATCGAGACTCTTGCTTTTTTTTTTTTTTTTTATATACCTCTGATTTGCCGATCTAGCTGGTAACCCTCCTTCCTGAGCTTGGACGTCCATTCCCGCACCTACAAGTGAAGCGATACCAACTGATCAATTCAAGGGAGATGGAACATCGCTTTTGGAAGAGAGCGGTAGGTCAGGGTTGTTTTGCTTACTTGCTCCTTGGGCGATCGTTCGGGGGTTTTCCCGAAGAGACCCATGGACGCCCCTCGAGTGATGAGCTTTGCTAAAGATTACGTGAACGGCATACGACGTCGAATTTAAAGAACAACGGTGTAAGTACAGAGTATAATAACTATTCGCTCCAAGTTGCGAAACAACACCTCCGATCTCAGGCGCTGCTTTCGTTCGTTTGCAAGGTGTGTCTGAGTGCCACCGGAGGCGCCATAAGTCGGTTCCAGCCGTAGTTCTTGTTTTAAAATTTTAAAGAACAACTCCTCTCAGTTCCCTAAATTTCAAAATAATAGGTAATTTTCAATAAAAATTATTAAAAGTTACTACGTCACTTTCTTTGCGAAAAATTAAATATATAATATAAAATCTCACTTTAAACATGAGAAGAAATCGAAACCGAAACCTTTTCTCCGTCTGGCAACATTAGCCTCGGGAAGGAAATTGGCTGTGTTCCAAATTTTACCCAAATGAACCCGAGCACTGAACCCGAGTTACTCCGGCGGGTTGTGTCACGTGACAACACAAATTGAAGAACGCTGGACGCGGGTAGTTTTTGGAACGCCAAGGTGCAAAACTTTTACCCTGGAGTAAGATCGAGTAAATTTTGGAACACGGCCTATGGGTATGGTGCCTGGAACGCGTCTCCGACTGGTGTGTTTACCGCGGCCAAAAAAGTGGTCCCTCGATTTCCGCCTGATGACGTCATAGAAGTGTCATGCTGGCTGTGTTCCAAATCTTACCCAAATGAACCTGAGTTACTCCGGCGGGTCGTGTCACGTGACAACACAGATTGAAAAGCGCTGGACGCGGGTAGGTTTTGGAACGCCAAGGTACAAAACTCTTACCCTGGAGTAAGATCGAGTAAATTTTGGAACACGGCCGCTGTCACCGGTCGCGACCCTGGCGGCGTCCCGACAGTTGTGGTACACATGGCAGACGCCTGTTCTGCTGCAGTTCGGTCTCCACTGTGACAGTTCACGGAAGCTGCAGCAGCCGGAAGTTGGGACGCCTGGGACGCCGTGACGACAGCGACACTCGCGTTCGCTCGTGCTTTTTGCCAGCATCGCGACAGGCAACAGCATGACACTCCGGCTTCTGTGACGTCATTTGTTGCCGCGACAGGCAACAGCCAATTCCGTTTCTTTTAGCAGGGTTGCCAGGTTGGGCTATTAATAGCCAAATTGGGCTACTTTGTCATGCCTTTGGCGTCGAAATTTGGCGGTTGGCTATGTGGCTATTTTTGGGCTACTTCAAATCCTAACGCGGCATTTTTTTCTTTTTTTTGCTTAGTTTAGAATAGATGTACAAAAGACACTTCAGCATGGACACAAAGCGACAGTTTACCCTTTCTGGATTCCCGCTTTCAGGGATTTTCTGCGTGAAGATTTGTGGGCGGGAGCTCAAGTGAGAAACCGTGATCTATATTCATCTCCAACGACATAGCTTTTTTTTTTTTTTTTTTATTAATTGTGGCTTATTTTATGCTACCAAGTACTATCTGCTTCCTACTGGCGTCTCTTATTTTCTCGAGTTTCTCACCATCCTCCTACAGGAGGCACCTCGTCCGAGGAAAAATGATACTAAAGGCAACTCAAGACAAATGCAGAATTTGATGTCGCCCGATAACGCGAGCTGTACTGGATATAACAAAGGAGGCTTTTCCGCAAAACATGAAAGTTTCTTACAGCGCAATGAGCCATAACAAAAGACAACAGATTTGGGACAATGAATATTTGCCAAGATGGATGCGCAGGAGCAGCCTTGTTTCCTTTGCTATCCGAGCTTGCCATCGCGCTCCCGACACTGCCCATGTCGAATGCCGCCGTGGAGAGAGTATTCAATCACGTGCCCCTCACAAAGTCAGGCCTAAAGAAGAACATGTCCCCTCCAACTCTTCAAAACGTCCTCTATGTAAAGTTTGCTTTCCTTGGGAAGAACGAGTGCTTTAAGGACATTAACACTACTGAAGAAGTTTTTGCCCGTTTTAACACGGAAATCATGTATGAGGCGAGTAGGCCGGGCACGAGCGAGTGCTTCATAACTATGTGACTGTAAAAACGCGTATGGAAAATATTTGTACTGTTGTGTTTGAAATAAAACGTTCAATACATTTCAAGGTGTCGTAGATCTTGCATGCTGCTCCTAAACCCTAGATATGTACACGCAGTGCGTTCGAATGGAGCTCGCACATTCGAGCTCACGTTTTTTTGGGCTCTGCAGAATGTGGCTACTTTTGGGCTACATAAATCTCTTGCATTTGGCTACTTTTGGGCTACACCGTCTGGCATTTAGCGGTTTGAGCTAGAAACTACCTGGCAACCCTGTCTTTTAGGAGAAACAAAACATTTGTCCAACATAGGTGCCCAGGCAACAGCATGACTAGGGGTGTCGCAGGTGTGTGCGGACGCTCTGACACTGCTACGTCCGGTACCAACCATGCCGTCATGCTGTGAAAAACCACATGTTTTTGCGCAGCGGGAGTTATTTTGTGAGCTGAAGCACTCGCTCCTGAAAGCAATGGCCGCAGGCACCCTCAGTGCCATTTCTCGGTTTGATAAATGTTATGTCTGGGTAGACGTCGAATCACGGAGAAATTTTGTCTTCCCGCTTCATCCGTTGATCCAGGCAACGTCACATTCTCAGACTTTTGCATTCTGTGGCCGCCGCTAGCATCCCGTTAACACGGTTTGTCGGCTTTCTGCGATGCATAGTTAGGGTTTCATTTTCTTCGTAGGATCCCGCGGACTAAAAGTAGCATGAAACCCCGTAATGAACGTTCCTATAGTCGGTTACATGTCAAGAAGGTAGGAGAAGCTCCTCCCATAAGCGTGATGCCCGTTTTAAATCTATCTGCAGTCGAAAGAATAGTTCCCTGGAAACGCCCCTTGTTCCGCTTCAATGAATAGATAATAGCTACAGAGTGATACCAACTTGTCTCCTACCCCCCACATTTTAAGAAAGCGACCTTTGTATTCATCGGAGTGGGAAACCGAGCCCCTGAAGTGGGCTTTGTATCCATCGGAGGGGGAACCTAACCCCCCCCAAGTCGTATTTCTTTCCATCGCAAGGGGAAAATTCTAATGTTCCACAACGCTTAGTCAAAGTCGAAAGATAAAGCAAATATTCACAGGAAGGCAAAACCCTCCCGCGTTGGCCACGACGTCACGGAAACGATGGGACGCTATTGGATGCGGAGGTGGCAGAGGGATATATGAATCCCTTTGAGGGGCATTTGCCGCTACCTTCTTGACCTGTGACTTACTATAGCAAGGAATTGCCTTCCTGAAACGGGTACGAGAGCGCCAGCAACCAGGCACTTGCCACGGCTCTCTCGCAATTAGTGTTCAAGGAGAAGGGGGTGCTGAGGGCACAGAACATTCGCCACCGCCCCAAGGGCCAGAAGACGCCTCCGGAAGCGAACACCGTCATGGATGACGTCGTACGTCTCGTGAAACGAGTTTGTTTTTGCCGGCGTTTCTGTCTGGTGCGTATTTACCAACTTGCGGAGTTTAACTTCCAGGTGTACAGCATCGAGGTGGAGATTCTGAAGGATGGCCAATGGGTGCCCTTTGACGCCGACGACTTGCAGCTGGAGTTTGTTCTCATCGACCCGTTTGCACGCACCAAGCTGGTCAAGAAAGGCGAGTGCACTCTGTCTTTTCGAAGCCGACCACGAGAGAAAAAGCTCCTCGTTGAGGCTTCGTTCGTATGCAATTCTTCGGGCTAGCTTACGTCACGTCGCAGCTGCGAAGCTGTTTAGAACATTAAAAGATGCTCTGGAACGTTTAGTTCCATCATTACACGTCGAGATTGGCTGCAAAAGGGCTTTCTTTTGTTTGTTTTAATAAACTTAAATATAGCTTGAGAAAGCTTTTTTTTTGTTCTGGTTATTAAAATTTAAGTCTACAGGGATTACTCAAAAATTTTATTAACTGAGGTCTTCCTTAGCTTTTTATTTATTTTTCGAAGTTGGTTGTCTTTTTAAACTATACAAATGAATGTGCGGCGCCAACCAACGCAGGTCAGAAGTGCGAGTCCCAATTCAAGGTTTTGGACGTTTACGGTGTGTACCAGTTCAAAGTGGACTACAACCGTGTCGGCTGCACGCATCTCTACACTACCACTCGGGCAGGTTTTTGCTTTTCACTCAAACGTACGACTACATACAGGCATGCTAGTATCGTCCTTCAATTTGGCCCGTGTTTCCGCAGGTGCCTGTGCAGCCGCTGCAGCACACGCGGTACGAGCGCTTCATCCCGTCGGCGTACCCTTACTGCCTGAGCGCCTTCTCCATGATGTTCGGCATGTTCCTACTCAGCTGCGTTTTCCTCTACCATAAGGACGCCCCCAAGACCGAGTCGGACTGAGCAACCGAGTCGCACCCAGGGTCACCATCGTTCATTCCCATTCAGAGCTGCCTCCGACGTCACCACCATCTCGCACGGGCAAGGCTGTTTTTTTTTGTGTTTCAAGCAGAAAGAGTGATTGTTCGTTTGTTTTTGTGAGCATGAAAAATGAAGACCAAGAGTCTGAGCATTTTTTTTTATTAAGGCAAGATTTTTTTTTTTTTTTTCCTTTTTGGGTGGGTGAGTGTTGCAATAAAAAGTTGCTGCTGAAAGTGCAAGCGTCAAACGAACATTCTTGGTTCAACAGATCCGCGTCACAACAGTTGTGGAGCTTTTACATACTAAAAGTGAAGGTGCACCGACGGTGGCATTGCAGCCATGTGTTTGGGAGGCCTTCCCAGCACCAGATGCTCGGAACGAAAGCTCGGACGTGGGATTCAACGAGTTATTCTTCCTTGCTGAAGAACTGCGAACAGTCCACCGTTGCGAGGTAGTTGAAATCGCTGTCGACATCCTTTTCCCTATTCTGGGAGGCACTCGACAGGCTTTCAAACGTTATGCTTAGGTCGGCCAAGGCGTCAAAGTCGCTGTCTTCCGACTGTGTCGTCCATGATCCGCTGGAGTTTAGCTGATCTTTGTTGGAGTTTGTCCTTGCGATTGGCATCTCTTTCAGCACTGCGAAGCCTTCGGGCGGCGTTGTCACCGATTCCTTTGTTGGGACCTTGAACAGTCTCTTTTGATGGGGCGCTTTATGTGTGGCCTGCTTGGCGGCAACGGTTTTTTGCATGTTTCCTGTTTTGGCAGCCGGCTTTCCTAGTGCCGCAGCTTCCTTTAGCGGTAGTGCCGTCGCTGGTGTCGTGGCAACAGGTTTCGGCGGTAGAACCATTGTCGCTTTAAAAGTGCCTCTCGCCGGTGTCGTGGCTGGTTTTGCCGGCACCTCGGCCGCCACTTTGTCAAGTACCCTCGACAGGCTTTCAAACGTTATGCTTGGGTCGGCCAAGGCGTCAAAGTCGCTGTCTTCCGAACGTGTCGTCCACGATCCGCTGGAGGTCAGCTGATCTTTGTTGGAATTTGTCCTTGCGATTGGCATCTCTTTCGGCGCTGCGAAGCCTTCGGGCGGCGTTGTCACCGATTCCTTTGTCAGGACCTTGAACAGTCTCTTTTGATGGGGCGTTTTATGTGTGGCCTGCTTGGCGGCGACGGTTTTTTGCATGATTCCCGTTTTAGCAGTCGGCTTTCCTAGTGCCGCGGCTTCCTTTAGCGGTAGTGCTGTCGCTGGTGTCGTGGCAACAGGTTTCGGCGGTAGAACCATTGTCGCTTTGAAAGTGCCTCTCGCCGGTGTCGTGGCTGGTTTTGCCGGCACCTCGGCCGCCACTTTGTCAAGTGCCCTCGACAGGCTTTCAAACGTTATGCTTGGGTCAGCCAAGGCGTCAAAGTTGCTGTCTTCCGAACGTGTCATCCACGATCCGCTGGAGGTCAGCTGATCTTTGTTGGAGTTTGTCCTTGTGATTGCCATCTCTTTCGGCGCTGCGAAGCCTTCGGGCGGCGTTGTCACCGATTCCTTTGTCAGGACCTTGAACGGTCTCTTTTGATGGGGCGCTTTATGTGTGGCCTGCTTGGCGGCGACGGTTTTTTGCATGATTCCCGTTTTGGCAGTCGGCTTTCCTAGTACCGCGGCTTCCTTTAGCGGTAGTGCCGTCGCTGGTGTCGTGGCAACAGGTTTCGGCGGTAGAACCATTGTTGCTTTGAAAGTGCCGCTCGCCGGTGTTGTTGCTGGTTTTGCCGGCACCTCGGCCGCCACTTTGTCAAGTGCCCTCGCGGGTGTCACAGTTGGTCTTACTGATGCTGTCGCCTGGCCAATGTCGTCATCTAGAAACTGAATGAGGGGATTGATGTCCTCGATGCCTTCCAAGCTCTCTTGGGTCTGCCCTCCCGGGAAGAAGAGCGGAGTCTCGAACAAGACTGGTGTCCCATTCGGTAACTTTGTGGCAGAAGCTCCGGTCGCCGGCTTCAGTTGTCCCAGTGCACCATATTCCTCAGTTGCTGCAGGGAACCTCTGAAGCAGTGGCAAAGTGTCGACTTGAACTTTAACCTGGCTGGCTTGTATCGGGCTTGCTGGTCCTTGTTTTTCAGCTTCCAGATGCATCCTTGGTTGCTGATCCTTGTTTGGGGAACGGTTTGCTTGAACCGCGGATAAACACTGGATGAGATTTGGATTTAAAGCTTCGTTTGGAACGGGGACAGAAATGGCTGCCTCATCTTGGATCTGAGGTTGCGCTGAAGGCAAATTTTGAAGCACTGTTACGAAGATGGCTGCACCCGCTGCACTCTTCGTCTGCTCCTGGCACTGCACGGTCTTCTGGTGAGCCCCAACGTCTTTCCTCTTCTGCATTTTTTTTATGGTTTTGGTGGCTGACTGGTATTTTGGCCTTGGGTCACTTTTAGAAGCTGCTGTCCTTTCTTTGGCTCCCTTAACTGCCGGCTTGGATGCTCTTCTATGGCTGGTAGTCGCTGCACTTGCTAGAAAGTGGTGTGTGCGGGGTTTATGGTTTCAGAACTCTCGCATTGAAAAGAAAGACAAGTTTTTTGTTATTGTAGTCTTGGTAGCAGCTCCTATGAACTTCCTGTCATGTTTTTATGGCATACATCCACTGGGATGTCGGTAGCGACGTGAAAGACATTGAAGTAGGACGCTTAAAATTGTGTGTTCTTTTTCAAAGGTAAAAAGTTGCCTAGTCATTTTGATCTGTTGCATTCTTTTATGTGTGTCTAGGTAGAGAGTTCAGCTTTTACGGTTGAATATGAACCTTTAGCTTACTTCGATTTAGCAGCCCTTACCTGACTGCGTTTGCTGCATCGTCTCTTGAGTAGTGGTCCGCACCTTTGGTGGTCTGCCCCTGGGACGCTTGGCTGCGAGACCAATATCAGGTGTTACAAAGTGCAGATTGTAACTAACAACAAAATCTGTTTATATTTTTAACAAATGCAAATTAATTTGAGCATAAATTTGTTCAGCAAAACAGTGCTTTATTTTTATTTATGCAGTCTCGGAGACGGGCTTTGGACATAGCAAGCAGCCCCAGATTTTTAGCTTCTTTTTTTTTTCTTTTCCAAAATATACCTGGCTGCGTGTCACTGGTCAATGGCTGAGTGGTGGTCTTGCATTTCGATGATATCTTCCTGGGCTGCTTGGCTGCAACATCAAGAGTGTTCTCAATTCGCGAGTCTCAGGTGGAGCTATTTTGTTCCAAACCATGGAACTTCAACGCATTTGAGAGAAATATTGTGGTAAAAATAAAATATGCATTGTCAAATGCTCAGTCTCTGCCGAATATATTATCGGAATGAAGTGTGAACGTTGGAATGCGTGGCCTTCGACAGATGCAGCGCTATCTGCACATCGCAGAAAGTGCACACTCTCGAAGCCCCCTCTCCATTCCGCAGTTTTATCAGCCTCCATCAGTGGGCCCCATTCTCTCATTACAAATTGCTTAAAATCGCTTCTTACTTTTAAGTTCGATAACATCAAGTTTTGAAATTTTGACATCTCATCTCGACCACTAGTACTGCATTTGGTTGGAGACTGAACATGTGGCAATACATATTTGTTTTTTTGGGGGGTAGTAAGAAAAACAATTCAGTAAGGACATGCGCAAATAGTAATTTTTCAGTTTGAAGCAAATACTAGTTACTTTGTACAAATAATTTTGAATCAAATAGAATAATTTCGAGGTGAAGCAAGTAGTTTTTCGGCTATCCATACAGTCGAAGGAAGAAAGCCTTAAGTCTAGGGAACAAAAAAAAAAAAAAAAAGTACAAAGATGATAAATTTTGAGGGTTCTGTACCATGATTGTCAGCCAGCTCACCTGTGCAAGTACTCTTAATTTAATATAAATAGTCACGTCTCAATAATATGAACACTTCCGTTTCCCAGAAAAATCGCCCATAATGTGAATTGTCCATAATGGTGCCGAGACTCGTTTACACAACACTTTGGGGTCATCCATTATAAATGCCAACCACAATAGATTAAAGAAAGTAGGCCTTGGTTGGTGAACTTGGTTGGCAAACTTATTTCAAGTTACTGAGCATGAACACATGGCTGTTCCACATGTTTTGGGAGTAGGAGTTTCCTTCTGGCAGTGACAACTTTCCCCAGCGCTAAAAACAACCTTTCACTGGAGACTTGCATTGCTGCTACTGATAGGTACAACTGAGTGATGCTTGCCAGCAGTAGATTCTTCTCCTTTCCCCGAACCTTCCACCAAATGAAAGGATTTTCTGTGCGAGGCCCGACAGCTTGTGCCCCCCCCCTAGCCTAAAAATACAGCGATTCCTCCTTTGCCCTCCCTCCACGTCATAAACCAATACTGTTTTTCCTTCAAAGTTAAAAGTTTTAATGTTTACGGGTTAATATACGGTCAGTACTTCCTTCAGAAAAGGCATTGTTATTGCTATCGCCGTTTACCTTTTTCCCCGCAGTAATGGCAGGACCACGATGCATTCCTAATTCCAGGCTTTTAGCCCTCATATCTCCGGCTGCCCATGGCGTACAAAACATATTGGACACACATTCAACCAAGGTGCATTACAAAAATTGCCCATTGCATGTGTTTTGCGAGTGCGGTGTGCGTGAAGTCGTATGTACTTCTGGGCAGCGTTTAACTTTTACTCTGACTGTATTTGCGGCACTGTCCACAAATGAGCTTGATCCAGTGCCCAGTGGCGACGGAAGAGGGGGGGAAGGGGGCGGCATCAGCGGCGTGTTTTTGTTTTGTTTACTAGACGCTTATGGCTATCAAATCAGTATTACAAAATCTTTATTTTTATGACTTCTTCCTGCTGCACTGCTTTTTCGTAAAAATTTCCACGTGTTCTCAACGGCAAGTTTCAACCTTACGCAGGGTCTTAAAAATCTTCTTTGACGAATGACAACGAACGAGTAGAAAACGTGTCTTCAGCATGCTGCCGCCAGCCTCTGTAACGCTAGCAAAACCGCAAATCCTCTATGAGCAAGGTGGCTGTCCGGTGGCTTCACTCGCGGGAGCGGGAAGCGCGATCCTGCAATTGTCATTGAGATCAGTGGCTGCAACGGTATGCAGTACTCCTGATGCGGTACGCGGTACAACCGTCAACCGCAGCTCCCCTGTGACATGACCTCTCAAGGGTGCTGCGCCAGTGTTCCTTGACTAATAGCTAACCAGCTTTCCACCCGGGGCCCGCCCATGACAAAATGCTTTATGAAGGGGAGAGGGGAGAGGAGTACCCAGCAAAATGGAAAATTTCGAGGGGGGGAGGGGGGGGGGAAGGCTCCCCCCCTTCTTCCCCCTGGTTACGTGCCTGGTGCACTGTCATTAACAGAGAACCATATGTGTTATATTAGTGCTCTTTGTAGTCCGCTTAGATTATGGAACCAGCTGAATTTACAGAAAAAAAGTGTGACGAGGGAAAGGAGAAAAGACGTCTGATCACTGGACTACCAACTATTTATTGACCCTCCGTTTCTTCTTCTACTGGTGTTGCAGAAGCAAGGTTCAATAAATAGTTGTTAGTCCAGCGACCGGATGTCTTTTCTCCTTTCTCTCATCACACTTTTTTCTGTAAGTTCAGCTGGTTCCAGAATCAAAGTATGTACGGGCAACCAGCTAGCTCAGCTCCTTCCCATTGTAGTCCGCGTATCGGAATTTCTCTAGCACACTCTTTCACAATGCATATGCAAACTCTTCTGATGCAGTGCTCTGCCCGCCAGCCTTCGGACCCTAGTGCATCGTAGGGCGAGACGGAGTATAATAGTTTTGACGACAGCTCTTTAATTCTAAGAGAAGCACCGAAAAAAAAACCGGTAATTGCTCGTCCACGCTACCAGTGCCACGTATTGTACACTGGGTGGCATTACTCGCTCGTTGAACCGAGCACCAGCCAAATGGGTAAAATGCTCCATGGGGTACCTCGGCACACTCAGCCGCAAAGCAGACTGGCACCATTTTATGGCAGGGAATAGTGGCAGTCTATTCCAGTCTTCTTAACATGTGGTATTCTTAGCTCATTGCCTCCCACTCTACTGCACAGGTGCAAATCGACCGCTTACATTTAGTTTGTGTATGTCGCAGAGATGCACTTCGTAAGGGAGGGTAGTTGTTGATGAAGCAGTACTCCGCTATCCGTTCCTGGGTTTGGAAGAAACAAGGCAGCATTTAAATGTAGGGTGCGTTATGGGGCCGGGTTTCATGAGAGGTGCGAGACATTACTCTTTAGCGGGACACGACCGGCATCAGTGTGTGTCACGCTACACCCATACTTGTCGTCAAGTCACGCAATGTTCCAGCGTCGCGCGACATCATGGTATCACGCGACCCCGACGGCATGTGACTCTGCGACTTCACGCGATGTCACAGAGTCCCGCGACCTTGTGATGCCACAAGCACGCACATGTCCCCAGCACGTCGCGTGCATCTCCACAATTTTTGCATACAATGGAGACTTTTTTTTTTGTTCTCGGTGGTTCGCTGAGAATTTGAGATTTAGCGAAATTGGATAACTGACGAAATCATTGCACCTCGGTTCAATGGTTTATGTACCATGACTCATACTTGGACTTTCGACGAGAACCCCCTTGGTTGTGGTCGATTGATCACTTACGTTAGCCAATGCAAGTGAGGCTCTACCCGTGAAGTAGCATAGCCCCACTGCAGTGATGGCGCTGCATATTGCTCTCTGTCGTGACGCTTTTGCGTCTTACATTGTCACCGAGTTACCTTCGCCAAAAACACATTCTATTAAGAAAAAAAAGAAGCCTTACTGGAAGGGGAAGTTTGACTGCGAGCTTTGCCCTCTCAACAGCATCGTTGAAAGCTCTCTCGTATTTCTTGGGAACCTGACGAGGACACAGATTATGGTTAGGGTGCTTTGTTCTTAAATCTGATTCTTCCACAGTGAGATGGTTGTTTCTAAAGCCTATTTTTAATTACTTGGAACAATGATGATGTTGTCTGTATCCAATTAATGATACATTTTATTGTATAGATCAGGGGTGGCCAAACCGTGGCTCGCGAGCCGCATGCGGCTCTTTGCTGGTCCAAGTGCGGCTCGCGGATCCGTCGTAAGGGGACCCCCCCCCCCCCCCCCTTCGCCCCTTTTTGCGTTTCCCCAGGAAAAAAAGAAAGGATTTCAGAAAAAAGCACACTGCAGCTTGCACTTTGACAGCCTTGTACTCCCATACGTACAGTCGTACAGCCTTGTGCCCCCATACGTAGCGTCAGACTCTGAACAAAAGTTAAATTTGCCCCCCCCCGCGGCTCTTAGAAGTTCCGTGGTTTTGTTTGCGGCTCTTAGGCCAGGCCAGCCTGGCCACCCCTGGTATAGATTATGTGTAATCATGATTGGAGCCACATAATGGCAGTGAAAAGAACAGACTGCAAGTTCTTGACGTGCCCAAACAGCAATAAATAATTGCAGATTAAATTGACGATTTCGAATATTGAATGAAATCATTTTCATGAAATGTAAAAGCAGTATAGAAAACTAAGGCTCTCCTAATGCCTTGAAGGCATGTTTGAAATTTATTTGATTTGGAATTTATGTTCCGCTAGTCCGTCTTTTCGAATTCTTTGGGTTTATCTTTTTAAGACTACATTGTTGGTATAACTATGCGAGCAGAAAGTGAGGAAGGGGAGAAGACGAGAGGGGACATTGAAACACCAAGCTCTGGTTGGAACAATTAAGGAGTAGACGCAAGCCTTTGTCTTCACTGCATTCGTCGAACACGGAATGCCAGTGTCCGGAGTTTGTGATCGAACAACACATTTGGACAGTGTAGTAGAGACAAAGACGGCTAGCTTTGCATCTACTCCCTGATAATTCCAACCAGAACTCTTGTGTTCTGCCGTCCCCTCTCGTCTCCTCCTCTATCTCAGCTTCTGCCCTCACAGTCGCTGACAACGTTAGAACGGTGGGTAGGCGCTTGAGTGGTTCCGCCTCCAGGGTGAGCAACGCGCACCTGGAGTGTGTGCGCAGAGCCAAGCCATGCTCAGCCACCAGCACGTGCCGGAGGCCGAGCGTTGGAAAAAGACGTTCTGCCATTCTCCTGTCGGTGATTATAGTGCATGCTTTTGGGAGAGCAGAGCTCCTTGCCTTGTTCCCTGGCACGCCTTCCGGACGCAGTGGCACGCAGCGATCCTCTCGAACCCAGGCACGGGTCACATTCTTGTCCAGGAAGGTAACGTGGTAGTGCGTCTGCCAAGCGGGAAGACTCGCAGTGCTACACTCGGTGTGCTCTACACTGCTTAGTCACAAATGTCGGCGAGCTTGCATGTGCGTGCGCTCTATTGAATGCAACAGCCTTATTGTTCTTGTTGGTAAAAAGGTTGATGCAGTCTAGCCTGGTGAGAGTTTCTGGTGGCCAACAAAGTCGGGCAGTTTTAGAGCGCAGCTCTTAGACGCTCGTTTCCGGCTTGAGCGGCGGCGTCGTCGCCGTAACAGCGCGGTGCATTATGGGATGTTTCCCATGATGACGTCACACGTGACGTCACGAGGGTCACCAGTGACGTCACTCATGACGTCACCGCGCGTTGCATTATGGGTAAATTTCACCGATAAATTTAGTGGAAAAATTTCCCCTCTAAATTTAGCGGAAAATTTTCCACGCTAATTTTAGCGGGGAAATTTTTTTGCTAAATTTAGCAGGCAATTCTTTCCGCTAAATTAAGCGGGGAAATTTTTCCACTATATTTATCGGGGAAATTGACTTCTAAATAGGAGGCGAGCAGGAGAGGAGGAGGGGAGGGCATGGATGAGGAGGAGGGGCATACTCTTCTCTCCGTACCTTCCCCTCCTCCTCCTCAAGAGCTGCGCTCTAATTTGGCGTCGCAGGGGATTGAAAACGTCTTTTTTTTTTCTGGTTTAAGGGTACCAAAATATGCACAATTATGCCGGTCATTTTATTTAGGGCCTGGGTGAATACTATGCGCATGGTTTTCTTTATGTTGGAAAACGCCGGAGCTTAAAGGCGCCTCTGCATGCAAGGACGGTCGTTTCCCTATCCAGCAAGCTTTGACTCGTTGACTGAAGAAAGTTGATTTGGGACAATTCTTTTTCCTTGTCACCAAACTTCTCGTTTTACTTTCACCTTTCAGTCATATCACTTTTTTATTGTTTTTTTTTTATTTTTTGCAAAATCACCCTGTTAATCTGACATCTTTCCGAATAGTGAGAGAAGTTGAGTAGTACTTGTGCAACTCTCTACAAAGCAGACAGTTGTGCGAGGGCACACTCATTTTGTTTGTAAAAGCATCTTGTTTTTAAAGAAGGTCAGTTTGTAAGCCACTGCGATTGTACATTGTTCCGACTTCTTTTGCTCCTACAGGTAAGCTATACTTCGTTTCACCTTATGTTCGAGCGCGGACGATGTTATGAGCCGAAGGGCCAATCAAAGAGCGCAACGTCATGGCGTGCTCTCTGCGCTTGATAGAACTAGCCGGCAGAGGAGCACGCACACAGAGACGGCGAATACCGGCTAGTCCTATCAACTGCAGAGAGCACGCCATGACGTTGTGCCTCTTTCGCTGTTTCATTGGCCCTTCGGCTCATAACATCGGCCGCGCTCACGAAGTATAAGAACAGTTGCATCATTAATCTGGACCATCCTTAAAAATGTAGCTGTGTGCACTGATGTAATCCAAACGAAAACTTAAAACGAGGACATGGAAGTCATCGTGCCTTGTTGCTGCTAGCCCATGGAAAATCAATTCTGAGGAAGCTGCTAGTATATTTCCCAGCCAAATAATCGTTAATGGACCTACTCTTTCAAGTAAGGGACCATATTTGTATAAAGCAATGCCTTTTCTTTCTTTTTTCTTTGTTGCAAAGGTGACATTAAAAACCTCCAACACGCAAAAAAAAAAAAAAATTTTTTTCATACTAGGCGTTGAAATGGCATGTCAGGACATTACAAAGAAATTGTTTCACTATATAGGTGCGTAGTTTTTTTTATAAAAAATAGAAATACGAGGCCAAATTCAAAGCTCCCGCCAGTGCACTGTGACGTAACAGTGTACCACAAGGTGTCGGGGCGGTCAGAAGGGAGGCATCGCCGGAAGTCACGCGAGTTGTATCCCTCCTCGTGCTTACCGCGAGCGCGTGTAATATTTTAAAAATATTTTTGTTATTCTAAGCACCTCCACGAGCGATATCCAAACAGACAAGGTTTCTTTTATTTGCTCTTCATCGCTTAATGTTGCTGTAAAAGTAGAAGAAGAGGAGTCAGTGAATTGACATGATCAACTGAAGTGCCTAGAAGGTGCAGTGTGGGGGTCTGTCCCGTTATTTCAGCAACTGAAGAAGAGATCACACTGCATGCATTTCCGAGAGACGGTAGGCATCTTCAGCCTGGAGAGTATACGATGATTCGACGACCTCGGTGTCCGAAGCTTCAGCAATGCAATTGGACGTGTCGTACGCAAGCAATCCTAATTTCTGCGAGCGTTCTAAAAATTTTTCTTTTCAGACCTTGATAGCTTTTTTTGTGGCCAGTATAGCTCTGTATCATCGGACTGACGGCACGCACTCGTACACTGGCTTGTACTCGCAACGCTTTCATCATTGACCTCCATCATGTCGATCCACTGACTCTTCGTCCTCAACTTTTACAGCACGCAAACTAACCAACGGTGCAGCGATAAAGAGCTAGTGGAACTGAAACTTTGTTTTCCACAATCGCTCGTACAAAGAGCAGAAAATAAAAAAAAGTCGTAGGCACGGTCGCGGAGAGCACGAGGAGAAACTCACGCGACTTCCTGCGAACCCACTTTTAGTGACGTATGTCGATGCCTCCCTTCTGACCGCCCCGACACCTTGCGGTACACTGTTACGTCACAGTGCACTGGCGGGAACTTTGGATTGGGCCTCCTATTTCTATTTTTTATAAAAAAAACTATGCACCTCTATAGTGAAACAATTTTTTTGTAATGTTCAGCGCCTAGCATGAAAAAAATTTTTTTTTTTTGGCGTGTCAGAGGCCTTTTAATGTTGCATTCACTAGAGTTGTGGACAAACAGAAAAATGTAGGTCTGCATGTTGGCCTGCCTCCAGCATTAGCCTCCTGCATACTAATTTGGTGCCACTTAAGCTTCAAGCATGCTCTCCCAATCAAGAGACTACAATAAGCATTTGGCTTGTAGTGGAGGCAAGGCCACGCAGAAACCTCCATCTTTTTAAGGAGGAAAAATTGCGCGATGATCACACGTCAGACAGCGACAGCTGTGATGCTTATTCGATGATGATGATTAATTGACACTGTATTGATTGTGCGTCGTACGGTGATCCGATATTGAAATGACGTTTCGTTCATTTAGCGTCGATATGTCGATGATGAATAAAAAACTTTAAGGTCGTGATGTGTTTTCCTGCCAAATTTAGCAGGGAAACTGAATTGGTGCACAGCTCACGTGACATCAATTTTTCCGCTTAGTTTAGCGGGAACCTGAATTTGTCTGTAGGTCCCATGACGTCAGGTCACGTTACATAAATTTTCCCGCCAAATTTAGCAGGAAACTGAATTGGTGCATAGGCATGTGACATCAATTTTTCCGCTAAATTTAGTGGGAAAACTGACAGTGTTTACGCTCGCGCTTTCGAAAAACCAGAAAGGGAAGGTTAACCAGGAAAGTAGACGCCAGCTATTTGCAAGTGACTATCCGATTTAGGACTGTTTTTAACGGTTGGCTCTGTCCAGCTCTAGTCTCTTGATTAGTGCACTAACACCCCTACCACACGATCCTCGTCGTAAGGGTCTTCATTGCAGAAGTAGAGGCAACTGTCGGGGTCATCGTCAATCATGGCAGGCCACCTGTTGTGACCAATGGCATCCTCAGAATCGTGCCAGGCGGGAGAGGAGGACCAAGGAAGCATGCAGCATGCGGTGATGGGATCTCGCTCCTCACCAGGGGTATGAGTCCAGCTTGGCCCAGACGATGGAGCCAACGAAGAACTTGACATCTACGAACTCTTCTTGGGACATGTCCTGCTCTGCCGCCGCACAGCTGTTGTACTGGGGGTCTAAATAAAGAAGGGAACGACCATTGTATGATGCATTGCCTGCGTACGACAGACCAGGGCCGTAACCAGGGGGGGGGGTTAGGGGGTTCTGACCCCCCCCGAAATTTTTTTCTGGGTACGGCCCTGGTCGGTGCACTTGCAGCCAGCCGATCTTAATCTCCACCTCTGCGCACGCGCAGTGGCACCGGTCGGCTACCGGGTACCAAACCGGGACCGGTTCTTCGGTTTCCTATAACTCTCCTTTATATGCCACCGATGCACATGATTCATAGGCGAAAATAAGACAAAATGGCCGCTGTTGTCCCCGAAAACCCCCCCCGAAATTTTTTTCTGGGTACGGCCCTGCGACAGACTGCTTTGTTTGGAGTCTAAAGAATGTTGAGAGATTGGTGCCTGTCGATTTAAACCTAAGGAGAAGCTAGCACTACAGATTCTCTTGACCTCATTTCGCTGAAAATACTTGTTTGCTAAATAAGCTGGGGTACCGCCGTGATGTACCCTCACGGACAACACGAGCTGAAACACCTGATCCAGGCTTTGTCTCGATCTGCAGTCCCCACGAGCTCCATTATCTCTCAATTCGGTTAACACTCTGAAGTATGGGACCTCAACTTTGAATTCTATTTCTACTTTGAGCACGGTGGGAACGCTTGCTGCCGTTTTTTTCTTGGAATATCTATTATGGTAACGGTAAAACAAAAACTGCAAACCAAAATTCAATAATACTCTTTCGCTCGTACAATATACTTTGCTCGGGGGCGCATCCTTTTTGGCGGCAGAGCGGCGGCGGCGGTTATGCTAGGACGGAAGCTGTTCACCGTTGTTCATGAAGCAGTACCACTCGTCGGGCACTTCGTTGGGGTCAGCGACGTTCTGGAGGCAGCGCCACTTGTTGCACTTGGGTTTGCAGCACTGCACCCACGTGCCCTCGCTGTTGTTAATGCGGGCTTCCAGCAGGCGGTACAGCTCTTTCTTCGACGCGCTGGCCGGACTCTCTTGGTTGATGTCTTTGGTTCCCAAGGCATGCGACATTAGAGCACAGACGTCGGGAAGTCCTAAAATTTTAGAGGCTAGTTCGCACATTTGTATTTGACTGTGCTGGAGTGCATTGCATTTCCTTGTAATTGCTTACGACAAGAGAAGACACTGGTGCCACCTGTCGGGTAGCCTTGGAACACTCCAATCTGCGTATAACTAGACTCAAGGTTTTGCAGCATTTGCGAGATCTTAAATCTATGCACTATACCTATCGAGAGCGGTCTCTTATAACATCGTCAAAGTTATTTCATGCCCTCAGTGCGACGTGCTAAAAATTACCGTACATGACGGGAAATGTTCTGGCTACCCGACGGACGGCGACAGCGTGCCGGTGCGTTCTCTTGCCATGAGCTGTTACGAGAGAATGCCATGCACTCGGCGCGTTTAAACGTGAAAATGCGAACTGGCCTTTTGTTTGCCGGAAAAGGCTTTGTGAAGTCGAAGAAAATATTCTCCACTCCCTGGACTTTATATATTAAAATTGTGTCGACCACTTCCCGTTTTCGATACGCTGCTGAATCCATCATTTTCGGAAGTTGCCAGTTTGGGGGCTCTGCTATTGGAGTCCGTGAGCACCTGCTCGAGTGAGTGCGGGCACTCCGTCGACCGAGAAAGCTTTAGCCTGTTGCAGCTAAGAAAAGCGAGACAAGCCTCTCCCACGTAGAGGGCTCCACCAATCGTGACTCCACTCGCCTCCTCTCTATTGTTTGTTCTGCTAAAGTGGAAAGGGTGGAGGACTTTGTGGGTCCCTGCTTTTCTGGTTCTATTGAGCTGCGAGGACCTAGACTGGGCTTCCCCAACTCCCCTTTAGTGCCTGATCTTTCACCTTGAGTTAGTTTGAAGACACTTCTTTCTCATTCTTCCCATATCCTCCTGACGCGCACACTACTGCTTCATCCTGGGAATCCTCGAACCCAGTTTTCCGCCAGGTTGTGCCAGTTATTTTGGCAATGGTGGATTCAAGTTCGAGAAAATATAAAGGATGGGCACGTAACTATAGAGGTCATTCTAAACATAAGATGAAGCTGTTTCGGACTATTGGGCCTGAAATTGGCCAATGTCTTGTTGAGAAATAGCTTCTTCAGCCCTGAAGAAGCTGCACAACTCTCGATGAAATTCAGATTGCTATATCCTGTAGTAGGTTAAGAGGAGACAAGCTCCTACCGCGAAGCCCTCTGCCCTTTCCACTTAGCAGAGCAAATGCCCGAGAGAAGGTGAGTCCCTCCTCTCCAGCATTCGCTCTGCTAAGTGGAAGGGTTGAGGACTGTGTGGGACGAGCTTGGCATTAAATGCCTCCCAGCCTTTTTTTTTTTTTTTTTCTCCAGGAAAAAAATTTTTTTTTTTTTTTTATGTTTAAAAGTAGTTTGATGCAGCTACTTTTAGACTTTAGCTTGGTTACAAGCCTTTTCCCAAACATAGAATTTTGTGAAGAGGGGTTTTATATTCTTAAGTATTGGTGATTAGCCTTTGATTAATACTCAAAATTTATAATTACTAAAAATAAAACGCACATATGTTGTTTTATTTTTTGATAGCAAAATGTGAAAAGGTCTGAAGACAAAAAAAAAAAAAAAAAAAAAATTAACATATATGGCAGAAACTTAATTTAATTAATTTGCGTTCCATAATTATTACATTATATCGAAAAACACTCTTCCTTCTGTATAGTGGGCCGTAATAGTATTTCCGCGTGTCAAGCAGTATGCATTAACCGATTTATGAAAATACGTAAAAATCTTACCCGTGTCGTATCTTAGCTTTTTGGGTCGCAGATTACGCTGTGGCTCTCTCGGATGTTTGCTTTTCCTGGGAGCACCTGGAGGATCTTGATCTTTCTCTTGTCTCCCCGGGGTTTCCGTGACCTCGGGCATGGTCCTAGGTTAGAGCAGGGATCCCACGCCAATCTTAGTACTTCTTTTTTCTTTTTTAGCAAAGATCTTAAATCGAGTTCGTACCTTTCATCGGGAGCGTCGTCCAACTCGAGATCGTCGTCGTTTTCTCGCGGGCGTACGGCAATCGAAACGTTGTTAAATGGAACGAAAAAGTTTCTTTCGACAAAAAGGTTTGCTGAAAGAATGGTTACACAGTAATGTATGATTTCCTAAGTAATTAATACTAGCGGAGAGCACGGCTCTGCATGCGCGATGGCGAACAACGAACAGAAGCTGTGTTCCGTCTGCTAACAAACGGTTCTTTGCAAACTAGATGTCTGCACAAAATTTTATTGTGATGTCCTACTGAATTATTTTGTCGCAAAAACACATAATCACTGTTATCAATTTGTTTTTATTAGACCGTTAAAAAAAAAGTTAATATGAGGATTTTGGAAAGGATGATCGTCTGCTACGAAAAGCGCGCCCACGCGAGTTTGCCTCAACGAGACAAAAAATAAGAATTAGGACTGAGGCGTGGCTGAATTTTGAAGTTTATGTTTGGTGTATTTTGTAGTAAGCAAAAGTTGGGAATATAATTGCGGCCTCTTATGATCGATCGACGCAGAAAAGTTTTGCGCATGATTTCGCGCTTATTTTGACGTGCACGTTAGTTTCGATTTGAAAATCGTTTACAGCGTCGTCAACACCACAGAACCTCCCGATCCCCGGATATGATTTCCTGCTAGCAAATAAAGCGTATTTTCGTTTAGTTGTTGCAGATCGCAGACTCCCAGTGGTATGTTTATAGGACCTTGATGTTCGTACGCTTCAGCGGATGACTGGTCGCTTAGCTGTAATTCTTTTCATCGCCACCGGGGACCCAGTCCCACACACGCGCTGAACAAGGCATTTCCACTGCCAACTATGACAAACTCTCCGTCAAAACGCCAACACAACACAGACACCATCAGAAACGAAATATTTGATGGTGGACGCCGAAATAAGCAAGCTGTGCAATCACATGACCAGAAAAACCGAAACTGGACTAACTCGAAATCAAATATTTCTCTAAAAGAACTGACTAAATTCCAGAAACGTGGGTTTTACTTTTAGTAATTAAAGGTGTGAAAGTCTGTATGAAGCATGCTAAACTAAATACGCTTGCTTTTCTTCAAGACTAAGGAAAGTATGTATGATCTCTATGCTAAGGAACAAGAGATCAGCCGCTGGCCACCAGGCAGCGCCGCGTTCCCTTTACTTCCCTCCTTCACCTCCCCCGTCCCCGAGACACCCGAGACCCCGAGAGTCGAGTCAACCGAGTGGGCCCTACCCTAGATCCCTAGTCAGTTATCGCTGTGATCCTGTTCATCTCATCAGTTGGCAAATACGCAAGCTCCAGCTAATTTCTTAGCAGAGCCGCAGAGCGTGGGTCGGGAGTGGTGGGCGATGTGCGCGCTCTCCAGCTTCAAGCGAGTCCAGCAATGGGCCACATTCACGCGACGCTGGCACCTGTACGACGCTCGCTGGCAGAACCCGTTCCAGTCGGCCGAGCTGATCGCCGACGTGCTGGCAGGCAAGCACAAGCCCATCTATCATGCGAGCAATGACTGCGGAGACCATGTGGTGGTCATTAACACCCGCGAAATCGCCATGCCCTGGTACGAGTGGAAGTACCGCATGTACTACCATCACACGCGCTTCGCCGGCGGAGCCTCGTGGACGTCGGCGTGGGAGCTGCAGGACAAGGACCCTACCAAGGTACTCTGGAAGGCAGTCTACAGGGCGTGCCCGGGCGACCTGCGCCGCAAAACCAAGATGGCCAGGCTCCACTTGTTCCCGGACGACCGGCTGCCCGACGAGGTGGCCCGAAACATCTCCGGCCAACTCAGACAGCTTCGGCCCGTGCCCAGGAAGCTGGCAGAGTTGAGCGACCAAGAGCGCCACAGCTTCCCCAAGCTCTTCGATTACCCGGAGGACTACATCGTCACGTAGCAGTCGACCCCGTTACATAGTCGCAGGAATAAACGCACTAGAGATCGGTGAGCGTTGTTCCTGCTTTTCTATCATACAGCCACCTTTCAACGACGCGCAATAAATGGATGCACCTTGCCAGCTTGGTTGTAGAACACTCATTGTTTCCTCCTATGTACAAACTGTCCGAGGGCTTGTGGACAAATGTGTGGTGTTAGCGGGCAGAAGCCAGACTCCAATGCGGCAGAATCATGTCAGGAGTCGCTAAAGCCACACTTGAGCCGCTCGAATTCCACCACCTGAAATTGACAAACCGCTTGGTGGGCACAGATCCCAAAAACACTGTCCAGAACATCTATTTATGCGCACATGCGAGCGGGGAGTTCCGAGGGGACCTTCCACACACCTGCTTCACATGTGCATCCGCAATATTTTGCAAGAGCCGGCTCACCCGTCCACTACCGACAAGGTCCTATAAACGAAGAGAATGCATCACTTCCACAGAAGATCAAACAAATGGCGCGACACTTTGAGAAACCAGTTTTAAACTTGAGATCAACCTTCTGCATTTTGCCGAGAGGCAACTCGATTAGCATGCGGCAAATGCTTTGGAACTAGATGGAAGCTGTGGATCTATCGGCTGACGAAATGAGAAATGTTTACAGTATCCAGCTCAAAGGTCATGCATTTAGAAAAGTGGTGGGAACCTCAGCGAAGGTCCAGCAGATAGCAAACAGCTTCTTCCCGCAGGACTTGAACAGCAAGCTCCTCTGCGGCACTCCATTCTGCTCGAGTGCATTGGCCACGGCAACGCGCAGCTTCTGAAATTCGGCTGGTTGTCACACACTCGGAGCTTGCAAAATAGGCTCGCTGCAGTTCTGCCAAGATGGACTTACCAGCCGCAGCTTGCGAGTGGCTGCTGAACTGTTGGGGTTTGTCGGTGATGCCACTGGAGCCTGCATTTCACCTCTCCGTCTGTCACAAATGGAAGGAACGAGCTTGCCAGATGTCAAACAGAACAAAAGGACTACAGTACAGTGCAACCCACTCACAACGATACCACATATGACGATGTACCACTTATAACGATCAGCTTCTAGACTGGAAGTGATCAGTTTCTAGTCCAGAGAGAGAGAGAGAAGCAACTTTATTGAACCGAGCTTATTACAACGTCGTCTTAGACGCCGTCGATGGAAGTGGTTCCCTCGTCACAGGACCCATATGCTTCCCTAGCCCCTTGGCCCCTGGAGATCAGGACGAGCTGGTCTTCCAGTACAGGGCTGGTTAGCAAGGCCTCCCGTCGCTTGGTAAGGGAGGATGAGGGATGGGGTGGGTTGGTGGGGATGGTAAAGGGGTATCCAAACAGGACACTACAAAACGCACGACTCCGACAAATCGTGAAAATTGAAGCGGGCGCGAAGCGGGCGGGTCCGCTTCAATTTTCACGATTTGTCGGAGTCGTGCGTTTTGTAGTGTCCTGTTTGGACACCCCTTAAGTGGTGGGGGGATTGGCTTGACGAAATCGCATACTCCAATGATGTGTTGGAGCGTGCCTAACTGATTCTTGCAGATATTACATTCCTTCTTGTGCCTTTCCGGGTACATCTTGTTTTGAAGGTAAGGGTGCGGAAAAGATCCTGCCTGTATCTGCCTGTAAATAACTTGCTGTTCTCTGCTAAGCGACTTGTGAGGATCGAGGTAACGTCGCCTCTCTGCCCTGTAGTAGTTCATAATGTCCTTATAACTAATTATAGACTGTGGCTCACCTTCCTCGACCCGGTGTTCCATCTCTCGGGCGAACTGGTGGGCAAGTTCGTTACCCCCCAGCCCAGAGTGAGCCGGCGTCCATATCGGCTCAACTTTCCTTTCGGGTACGTCGCGTTTCCTCTTGAGAATATCTAGTGCCGCAAGAGACACCCACCCCTTTCTGTAGCTGTTATACGCCTTTTGCGAGTCAGTGACATTTCTTCCCACTTTGGGCTGCGCGAGTGCTAGCGCCATTGCGGCCTCTTCTGCCACCTCCGGAAAAGACGTCTTGATGGAGGCGCAGGTTACAAGTGCATCCCGCGTCGTAACTGCCAGCGTGGCTTTCGATGAAAACTTGGGTAACGAGGCGTCTGTGTAGAGGGTGACCCCCTCTTCCTCTTCTTCTATTTGATCTAAAGTTTTTGTCAAGGCCGCTATACGAGCTGCTCTGCGGCCGTCGTTACGACCCGGCCTCATGTTTCGAGGCAGCGGCTTACTGTCAAGTTTATGCGCCCATAAACTGGCTGGGTAACGGCCCCGTTTCCTTCCGATCTGCCTCTTGCCAGCCCAACCTGGCAAGAACGCGACGTCCCGCCAAAGTTTGACTGAGCCAAACTCTTTGATTAGACAGATGAGCTTCTATTAACTCTTCAACGACGTTGTGTTTGGCCATGCCGAGAAGCTTGTCGGTCGACGAATGCTTCGGCATGCCCAGCGCCATCTTGGTTGCCTTGCGTATAATGACGTTCAATTGGTCTCTGTCTTTCTTGAGTAACTTGAGGCACGGCGCCGCGTAAACGATGCGGGACGTCACAAAGGCCTGGACGAGCATCAATGCATCGTCCTCCTTCAATCCTCTTCTTCTGTTCGTGACTCTTCTGATCATGTTCGAAATTTGTTCTGTAGAAACCTTGATCTTGTCGATCGACGCCCCCGCCTTGCCATTGTTCTGGAAGATGACACCCAGGATACGTGCTTGCGTGGTTGGCGTTATGTTTGTCCCGTTGATGGTGATGCGGACGTTTTCTTGTTCTTTTTTCTTTCTTCTTGGCTTGATGACGAGTAACTCCGACTTCTGTGGCGAGCAACTGAAGCTGCACGATTTAGTGAACTCGTGCACGGTCTCTGCCACTCTCTGAAGAGTCTCCTCCATCCAATTCTCCGACCCCGCCCTCGACGTCCACACAGTGATATCGTCTGCATAGAGAGCATGATCTATGCCCTCTACGTCCTGAAGCAGGGCCGGGTTTCTAGTCCAGATACAACAATAATCGGTTGATTGAAATTTCAGGTTTTCTCCTTATCGTCATAAGTGGGTTGCACTGTATTCCAAGGATATGTCTCAAAATGTGTTTCTTTAAATTCAGATCATAAGCAATGCTTGGCGAACACTCAAGAAAAGTACTAGTAGTAGTTTGGTTATTTACTCCGGTAAGTTAAAGGGCAACTCTGGTCGAAAACAAAACAAAAAAAAATGACCGATATTGCTTTAGGAATATGATCACAGCCAAAATATTACGTCAAACTGAAGCCGCATGCTCCACTAAACCTGATTTTAAAGATGCAACCAGCTGCTCTTTAGCAGGTGGCAAGCATATTAGCTTTTAATCAAGGAACACTGGCGCAGCACTCTTGTGATGTTGCAGTGGAGATGCGGTTGATTGGTTGTACCTAGGGGTGTCGCGAACCGGTCAAGGTTCGAGTTCGACCATGTTCGACTTTTTATAACTTCTTGTGAAATGTTCGCCAAAGGTTCGACTCAGGTTCGACTGCTATGCGCATGCGCGACAGGCTGGCCAGTTGGCTTCGGATTGGGTCGTGATGGCTAAGGGATGAATTAAGGGCAGCCCTGATTGGTTATTTCAGTTAATACAGTACAAAAAATGAAGTTATTAACTTCTTCAGTGATTAGGATTGTTTTCTTTTAATTGCAACTGTTCATAAAATTAAAATAACCCTTTGCATAAAAAAAAAATTCTCCAAACCTAGACGTGTTTGTGTCAAAATTTGGCCACATTGTCCACAAAGTCGAACCTGTCGCATCTGGTTAAAAGTTCGAAGGTCGAACCCCGAAAGTTCGACCTAAAAATCCGGTTCAACAAAAGTTTGCGACACACCTAGTTGTACTGCGTACCGCAGCACCTCGGTAACGTCGCGTTGCGGCCATTATGGCTGGTGATCAGTGTTGCCATCCCTCTAGCAGATAGTTTCAGTTTTGGCGTAGACGCCCGAAACCAAACTTTGAACCGTGATATTTATAAAACTACACACAATATCGGAAAAAAAAAAAAATTATACCTTATAATTTAGGGACACTGCTTCAGCTGAAAACATTCGTAACCCTAAATTCAAAAAGACTGACCAAAGTTTAGCGATGTAAAACTATAGAAAAATTTACTATTGCTACTATTGAGTTTTTTCAAAACTATCGATAGTTGACGATCAATAGTCGGCTATCGATAGTTCACTATTGATAGTTGACGACCGATAGTACTATCGATAGATGGCTTTTAGATGATTATCAATACTATAAAAATTCAGCTTTCAGAGAACTATTGAGTGTTAGGAAAATATTAGCACTACCAAAAAAGGGAATGACGACGCATATGTATGGGGAGACGATGCTTGGTTTTGGGAAAAGCATGAAAGGAAACAAAACAGAGTCACATTTTTGTACAATTAATTTAGAGGTAAAACAGAAATGGAGTTTGCTAGTTTTCCTGCACCCCCATTTTTTGTATATTAATGGGGTTCAGATATCAGGCTTCACACTTTCGTGTGTCCGCATTTGTAAAACTATTCAGTATTTTTTTGTTTCTTGGCGCTAGGGAAAACACTCACTGAAGACATTTAGCATCAAGGTTTTGACAAGTTTGTCTTACACTTGTGTTTCCTTTATTATTCAATCCACAGACGTTCCTTTTCATAGCCTTGACGAATGACCACTGACAGGTGAAAATAAGCACTCGGCTAAGGATCATAATTTTTTTTTCCCCTAACGACCATTTATGGCGAATTCCCGAAAATCGGGAATTAGCTGTTGACGAAAGCACTTCGGCTTGTATGCCATATGTTGCCACTGTTTGTTTGGCTCTATTTTGGCAGAGTTCAATAACAGTGGCTGGGAAAATATTTGCCTGTTAGTATAAAATACAACTTCAAAATACAGAAACCATCAAATACTCTATAAAGAAATATATTTGAAAGAATAAATGTAACAGAGATTCTGTTGTGCAGACTTCAAATTGAACATTACCAGATAAAAAGCTCATACCAAAGAAAACATAGTTATTGATGCTTGTAGTTTTTCCATTGTTCAAATACAACAAGTTTGGGAACATAAGATTAACTGGATAAAAAATACAATCAAAACGAAAATTTTTTGTGATCCAAGTAACAAATGGTTGGCAATGAGGCACTATTTCAGTGGAAAAGGCTCTGAAAGGCACTATTGCTTCCTTTCTTTCTCACAACCATTTAAAAGAAACCCCCCACTCTCCTTTTCATCTGGATAAAGTCCCGTATTTGCACATTTGATCTCCATTCCTAGCATAATATTCAAGCAGGATTCCGGATTTGTGCAACACAGATATAGTTTACTTATGGGGGCGACAGGGATTTCCATTGTTCTGATTGAGCTCATAAAAAGCAAAGGGCGCACCCCGGAGAGCAATCTAAAACAGCAAAAAAACTTTGACAACCAACTTATCTTTTATTTACGATATTTTAATAGATATATTAATAGTTTATTGTCAATAGTTTCTAAGAAGGATTTATACCATTTTGTGATTGTTTTCCAATAGGAAAGCAATCACAAAATGCTTTGCATCATTACCGGAATTGCCCTTTAAGTGTTCCAGCCCAGTGATATTCCCATCAATACTTTCAGTGTATCATGTTTCGGACATACTGCACACAAAAAGGGGCAACATTATTTTGATTTCAAAGCTGTTTCTGAAGCTCTCAGTCACTCTGTACCTGACCTGAAGCGCTTTTGAAATGTATTTGAGCTTACAATGGAGATGTAAACAAGGGCTGGCTTGCTCCATATGCAGACGACCGTGTATAGGAAGGCTATAAACAGGATGAGAACCGAAGGGAGGCTCTTCAGCAATGCATCTAGTGAGCCTCGAGAGTGCATGCAAAACCAGGGCAGAGGGAAACAAGCACGCGCTCATCCTGTCAGTCGTAGCTGCTCCGAGTAAGCTGCCAACCACTCTGAACCTAAACAGCCAAGGGTGTACTCCCAGTTCCAGCCTGGCAGGAACAAACCAACCCACACCTACCTGACCCTCTCCAAGTCCAGTCTCCTTGGGCTCTTGGCCTGCGTCACCTGCTGCAGCCTCCCTGTGGCAGACTTCTCCGCTGCAGCTTTTCGCGGACTCCTCCGTAGTCTTGAGCTTGTCGTCCGCTGGCCCGCAATCACGGTGCACTTCTTTCGAGGACTTCTTCGCAGTTCGTCGGCACCGCTCGGCACACTGTCTCCGACGGGCGCGGTGGACGATGTTTTGCGCCCACTTTTCCGGGGGATGGGGGACGAGCCACAGGAAGATGCTGCCGAGGCGGTCACCTCGGCGATGGCAAGCACCGACGATGCCCGGTTCGGAATGCAGGTTGTGGCAGTTTCATCCAGTGGGGTCCTTTCTCCCACAAATTGGCCGCAACTCTCGTAGCTTTTCGAGTCCACATTGTAACTGTTCAAGAGGTGAGACCACTAGTTAAAACGCTTGCAAAGAAACAATGCAAGTCCAACAGGCACTACAGCCATGTTGCTTACAGCTTCTACCCAGAAAAAATTCTCCCTGGAGCGTCTGGTGTAGCTCATTAGCGCCGAGGTTGCGAGAGCCTAGGACAGGTTGTCTCCAGTACGCAGAGTACATGAAGCTGGGACCCCTTTTTCCCACAAACGGGTTAAATTAAGGACAGCAAAGAAATGCAGCATGGTTGTACTATCAATTCTCAAAATAGAACATCTTTTTCATATTTTATGTTCATCCATATGTATTCTGATCCTATATCATGGACTATCAGCAGAAACTGTAATACCTTGTTTCTGTGGCATCTTAGAAGCTTTATGTCATCAGATGTGTGTTTGAGAGAATGATCACATAAGTGTCCTGCTACTACCAGGGTCAAGTTTTGACTATGGTTCATTACATTATTAATAGTACTAATTGAATAAGTGAATTGCATAAAAACATTAAAAACTTGTTTTTCTATGTGTGCATTTTATAATTTAATTTTAATAAGGAAGAAAATTCTCAACGTTTCTTGGATATCAAGATATAAAAAAAAATATATATATAAAATAGGTTACACAGAGGACCCTGCCAAACTTGGCCAGATTTTTAAAGAATCACAGGTTGACATTCTTACAAAGAACACCTAATAAAGTTCTTAAATTTTTGGGATTTGTTAGACCAGGAATTAAAATAACATAACTTATTACTATACCAGAATAAGAATGACTAGTGCAAGCAGCGCCATGTGTCCTTCCAACATCTTTTTCTTCTTTGCTATAGAGATCCACTACAAATTAATTTAGCGAACTAAACCCAATGAGCGGGAGAAACGTCAGGTTCTGCCTCACTGCTCCTTCCAGTGCTTAAGTGGCCAATAACGGGAGAGCAAAACATCCAACAAACTAGTGGCTTGTGCCCCCCTACACCCAAATAAAAATTTTATCCGTCAAAATGCATAAATTCAACCCCAAAATCACGCCTGAGATAAGATTAAAACAGACATATGGAAAACCTAAATCTAGTGTTGTGCAGATATTCCTATTTTCTAATAGTAGTTTTGAATAATACGCTACTCAATACTGCGATATTCACACTCTTCGAAATGTTGATCGTGGCGAGTTAGCCCCATTGAGTGCGCTTAATACCGAGCACCCGTGCACTACGGGTAAGCAACACCCGCAGAGCTTGTGGGCTCCAGAGCTGTGTATACAGAGAGTTTGGTCAACCGGAGGTGCGGGCAGAGCTAGGGTGTGCACGCAGACGCAGAAAGAAGGCTTGGCATGCTCTCTTGGCCAACCAGAAGCCGAAAAGAATCCCCTAGCGGTGGTTGCGAAAAACTGTTTTAATTGTTTTATTAAGCGCATAAGAGTTAAATATAGTCACCCTTCATGGTTGAAAATAGGGTGCACGTGATGTTTTGATCATAATCATGCGGAAAAATGTAAGAAACGAATGTGCCGCTTGAACTCTGTTTTACTCAGACAGGGTGTGACTGCTCGGATGGCGAATTCCCGGCCCTCGGTGCCTGGCGTACGGATTACGTCGATCCTTCTGCTAGTCGCACTCTTCCACCATGATTTTGGATGACTGTGATTGTAACATCACGTGCACCATATTTTCAGTCACCGAGAGTTACTCCGATGCACTTATTAAGTTTGTTTCTCGCGACCACAGCCAGGGTATTACTTCCGGCTTCTGGTTGGCCACATTCGAATTTGTGAAGACGCCCTGCAACACGCCCAGCCCACTTTCGGCCAATGGCGCCTCGTCATTTGTCTCCTATACCTCCCAACGAATGGCCAAACTGTACATAGACGCCTGTAGTGGGCACTGCAGATATTGCTTCCCCGCAGTGGATGGGTGCTTGCTGTGAAGCGCACTTAACGGGGCTATCCTGCCGTGATTACGCAAGAGTAGAAGTTGGGCGGCGATGTCTTGACAACCCGAGCTCATCATTCGTGCTTGTTTTGTTGTTTGTTTTTGTCAAAATTGAAGGAAGAATATTTGCATAAAGCAAGCAGATTTATAAACCCCCCTCGACTATGATAGCTGCAAGGAAGTTCCTAAATATCGCTATACTAAAATTAACTGAGCTTAGAAGTGTACAAGTGTAAGGTTGGGAACAACCTTGACGAGTTGAGCTGGATTTTTGTTTGAGCATGGTGCATGGTAGTGAAAGGCTCGGAGAAACTATTCGCTTCTAACTCAAAATCCACTCTTTGCACATGACTACAACCCAAGATATGAAACATATACCAAAATGTAGCCCTTTGAAACCAACACATTTTGGATGAACTGAAAGGAAGGAAAGCAAACAAATTATGAGATTATGGCGGGAACCACAGGAAAACTGATAAAAATATAATATTTATTTATGAACACATCCTTTATTTTTTTATTTTTTTTATTTTTTAGAGAATCATGTTAGAGTGGAACAACCCACCAGAAGATACACAAGTTTCATCTAACAGTGACACTCCACTGTTATGTATTGTGTGTAGTTTAGGTATAACTTGGCTTTCATTGCATAGGAATGCGTCTGAACTTACTCACCCACAGAGTAAAATAAATAAATAAACCTCCAATTCAAAGCAAACTAACAGCTTAGTGGGCATTAGGATATTAACATGCTGTTGGTAGTGTAATGGACCGTCCAAGATGGCGGCACTACCCAGCGCTAAGGTTCAAAGCAAACTAACAGCTTAGTGGGCATTAGGATATCAACATGCTGTTGGTAGTGTAATGGACCGTCCAAGATGGCGGCAGTACCCAGCGCTAAGGTCGTGCAGTCTTTAGGTCTGTTCGACTCGACCAGAAAGTTCTGAACTAGTTCTGTACGAGCTCAGAGAAGAGCAGGAGTCGTTGCAGCCACATCGTTAGGACTGGTGCTGTGATTGGCTTCCGGAGAGGAAGCGCAGGGTGTCGCCTGCATCTGTTGGCTCTCGTCTCTCCATGGCCACGTCGTATGCTAGATTCAATTATTCGCGGTTTGATGAGGCCATTTGCGTTTCCTTAGTTTTAAAGTACATAAACAAAATGTTTTCTGTGAATGTTTGAGCACTAAAAACAATTTCTGCACGAAATGAGTTTGTTTGCATCTTTAACGGCCATCCGCTTCAAATTGTTTCCATAAGCGTTTGTGTCCTTCACATTCATTTAGCAACAGTAGATTCATTTCAAGTCTCTCGAGTTTTGCATTTCGACGATAGGTTCGCAGCATCAGGATGACTTCGCATCGGGAGTTACTGGGGCCAGCGCATGGTAGTGGTCACTTAGAAGTCAAAGGCCTGATGAGAGCATCTTAACCAAAACAATTACCGCCTTTCACTTTGACATCAAGTTGAAGCGTTTACTCTGATTCTCAAGAAAGATTCACACGGAACTACCAAGTCAATGCCGATTCTCTGCATTTTTTTCCCAGGCAGTTAGTGGGCGGTCAGAGATACCAGCAGACAAAGCATGCAGTATTATGCTCAGCTACGGGGCACGCGAGTGCCAATGCACTAAATTATACACCTCTGCATTGTATCGGGATTGTCAGTCTGCATCCAAGAGCTAGTGAAGGTGGGGGCTATTAAGAGTGTGATACTTTTCCTATGTCGATTAACAAGAATATGAGCATAGTACCGTGCAGCATCAAAAAGAAACAATTTACGTGAGCAAATCTTTCAACGCTTACTACAGGAAACCAAACCTGTGCCAGCAGCTGCTTAAAACACTTTCAGAATATCCCAATCAACCAAACTCGTACTCATGGTTTGAATCTCGATTCCTCGTCCACCACGGGTACATTATTTTCATAAATGAGAGAAAATGTAACCTCCGTCTCGACTTTATTGTTAAACATTGAAGATGTTTGAGCCAGAGCTTCGAGTTCCAAGAAATTGCACCACAAGCAGATGACGGTGGGACACAAAGCCACGGACTGCGCTTTCCGACGGATCCCTTTCCGAGCCACGTTATTTTAGGTCGGGAATACATTAAAAAGGAATGTCGTCTGCTCTCATCGTCTGCTTCTGCAGATGCTGAACTGAGTCCGGAGCCGGTGCAAGGTTTCGAGGAATTGGGTCTGAACTCGTTCAGAACTGGAATGAAATGAACGCTACAGTGCAGCGGCCGTGCAACTTCCGGTTGAATCGAATGCGCCAGTTCCTGCAATGCTGAACTAGTTCAGTCAGTTCAGGCGAATCAAACAGACCTGTTGTTTCATTTTTTTTTTTTTTTTGCCCTATTTTGTATTCTCTTTTTCGCAAAATAAACAAGGCGGTAGCTTGACAGCTGTGTATCGTTTCTTGGCTCACGCCAATCCACTCAATCTACATCCCCAGAAATGTGGTCAGCCTGCATACTCAACAAAAAACCAAGATGCCAGCCTCGAGCGCCAGTACCGGAGGCTGGTGAGTAGCGGTGAGCAATGATTCCCTGCAGCCTCTCGCCATTTTGCAAACATACCACTCCTCGGTTGTTTTTTCGGTACCCGTGGAAATGTGTGGCCGCCATTACTGAGAAATTGGGAGAGCCAGACTTACTACACGTCGTGGTACCTGCACTGGAGGCACCGTGGCCACTCTGCTATCTTCAACTGCTCTTTGTCCACCGAGGGGGCTGCAAGGCCTCTCTGGGTGGGAGCACATCAGTTACAGGTGCCTTGCCACTACAGGAAACTTGCCCCACATACCTCGTAGCTTATTGCTTCCAACGGTGGCCTCTTGGCATTCCCCAACTCGTCAAAAAATCTCAGGATGTCCTTTGCTGACACAGCTATGGCTGCATGAAACGAAAAACAAAGTGAGGCAGGCAAGAAACAAGCTCCGTTTGCCAAAGGTGTGACTCACTCTTCGGAGCTGAGCCACTTCTAGTCATCGTTGAGTTGTCAGAGAGCTTGGCCATGTCAGCTGAGCTCAGGAGCAGGGCTCTCCGCTCTGGCCAGTCCGAAGGATCCCCAATCACTTCTGAAAATCGGGAATCTCTCTGAAACCGAGGAAACTGGCTTACCAAGCCTAGATTCAGCCAAAATTATAATGCACTGCTGCAATCCTGGAATCCCCACCAACATTACTTAATTACTCGGCTCAAGTCATTCCAGAAACGAGCCGCCTGCTATGTTTCATCTGAGTATGATTACACAGCTATTGTCCTGCATACAGCTAGTGTTTCTGCTACAAGAACAAGCTTAAATTTATCTACTCTCAAAGCACACTGCAAGTTTGCACGTCTTTGGTTACCCCATAAACTTTATCACTGCCACCCCAGTTAAAAGCTCATTCTGCCCGTCTTGTTGCCTTAAAGGCCGACCAACAAGCAGAAAAGAGGAAGCTTACTCTCTACTCTCCTCGATTTTCTCCTCGTCGTTTTTCCCACAAGAGGAAAGAAGGAAAGAACCCTTCTTTTTTACATCGCCATTTAGGATTAGGAAAAATTAGTCTAGCAGCCAGTTAGTAATCACACGAAACGAGGCAGAAGCTGCAACTTCTTTCTTCCCCACTTCCCCCTTCTTGACGTTCACTTTGACCCTCGGGACTTGAAGTACGGACAGTGCCGTGGATGGTAAGTGCTCGTCGGACCAGTCAGATGCCCATCTTTCCCCACATGGTTATGTCCCTGGCCATAGCTACGCACAGAGAGCAGGGTCGGGCGACGAAAGGAAGCGGTTGAATGGTACGGCCAGCACGAGCTCCCACCGCACCGTCAGCTTTGGGCTTAACAAGTATGAATTAAAACTGAAGAAAACCAAGCCGCTATTCTTCTTGCATGCTGGCATCTGCTTGCCCCATCAGGTTCCTCATGTGGTTCGTTCATTTCAACAACTGTCTAGAAAGCATTTCACTGATGAGGGAACATCAACAAAAGCCTTTTCTGAACGATAACATTTTCTTTTTTTTTTTCTGTCCAAGGTTTTTCTATTTTAAATGTTTTAGTTTCTTTTTTACCTTTTTTTTTATTAGAGAACGAAATATTGTTCTTAACTATCTCAGCAACCGCATCAAATACTAAAACGAAGTAATTTTTGCGAATAACAAATTTTGACAAATTTCACAATTTAAAAATAGAGAAAAATTGACCATGCAAATAGATCACTTTGTCGCAACCACTAGATAGCAAACCACTTGCAATTGTAACATGTTGTGCTCATTAAATATTCTCGAATTTCATACTTAGTGAAATCCACAAAATTATGTGACCACAAAAGTGAAGTCGTTTACAGTACGACAGACGTCAAGGACTGCGAGCCTTTATTTTGTGTTCTTTGTAAAGAAAAGAATGCGGGACGACAACCTAAAAGAATACACGTGTCGGAGGAGGAGACTGGCGGGGCATCGGCTTAGCGTTTCTGGCTTAGGCTGGCACGACAATGTTCGACCCTCTTCTAAAAGAAGCAAATGCTGAAAATTAAGATGATTCACTAAGTAACATGACCATGAAAGCTCTGCTGTGCCTCTCCAAGAAACCTTGGTATCCTCACACAACCCCTTAAAGGACACATGCAAAGGAAAAAAAACTTTTTTTTTAAACAGGCTGGATGGAAAAAGAATATTATAAAACAAATTTACAACGAAGGAAAAAACAAATTTAGAGCTATATTTACGGCACAAAACGAATTTGTAGTTGGCGCCCGCGGGAGTTGCCGCTGGTGACGTGGTAGGCCTGCGTGCCGCCGTCTGCGTCGCCGCCGCCGCAAAGTCACGCCGCCGCCGCACGCTGAGCGTTGTGCGACTCCGCTTCAATGTGTTTCTCCACGCCGCCATCGCCGCCGCTGCACAAGTTCGTCTGCTTCGGGGCGCCGCCGCCGTCATCTGACCGGCGTGCAGGTCTATCACGTCTGCTTGCGCTTTTTCAGGAGTTTCCTTTGGGCTCTAAAAAATACTTATTAATCTTAGTTTTTTGTTATACTTCAAACAAAGACGAATAAGTTACTTTGACAGGCCATAGGAAGCTTCCGAAAGAGCGCAAGCACCACGTGATATATAAGGGCCAGTCACGTGATAAATAAGAGCCACTTTTTTGTGGCGCCCGCGGGCGCCAACTACAAATTCGTATAGCGCCGTAAATATAGCTCTAAAAATTTTTTTCTTCGTTGTAAAATCGTATTATGACATCCTTTTTCTATCTAAGCTGTTTAAAAAAATTTTTTTGTTCCTTTGCATGTGTCCTTTAATAAGCGGGAAAATGCCTTGCAATGACATGTGAGTAGTGATGCGAATCAACCAAAAAATTTAGTCTAGATACTACCAATAGTTTTTCAAAAACTATTGATAGTGTCAAAAACTATCGAGTTAACTACCAATAGTCAGATATCAATTAAGTACTATCGATAGTTGACTATCGATAGCACTAGCGATAGTGATAATACTGTCAATAGTACCATCGATAGTTGGCTTTTAGATCACCATCGATACTATCGAAAGTCAGCTTTCAGGAAACTATTCGAGTGTTAGGAAAATATAAGCACTACCAAAAAAGAGAATGACGACATATGTATGCGCAGACAACGTGTGGTTTTGGGACAAACATGAAATTAAAAGGAAGCAAAACACAGTTGCCTTCTCGTACAATCAATACAGAGGTAAAACAGAAATGGCGGTTTGCTAGTTTTCCTGCACACATATTTTGTGTATTAATGGGGTTTAGAGATCTGGCTTCACACCTTAGTATGCCCGCATTTGCAAAACTACTCAGTATATTCAGTATTTTTTTGTCTGGCTTTGGCACTAGGGAACACACATGCTGAAGACATTTAGCATAAGGGTTTTCACAAGTTTGTTTCACGTTTCCTTTATTATTCAATTGACAGATGTTCCTTTTCATAGCCTTGACGAATGACCACTGACAGGTGAAAATAAGCACTCGGCTAAGGATCATAATTTTTTTTTTCTCCTAACGACCATTCATGGCGAATTCCCGAAAATCAAGAATTAGCTGTTGACGAAAGCACTTCGGCTTGTATGCCATATGTTGCCACTTTTTGTTTGGTTCTATTTTGGCAGAGTTTAATAACGGTGGCTGGGAAAATATTTACCTGTTAGTATAAAATATAACTTCAAAATACAGAAACCGTCAAATACTCTATAAAAAAATATATTTGAAACAATAAATGTAACAGAGATTTTGTTGTACAGACTTCAAATTGAACATTAGCAGATAAACTTCTACCAAGAGAACATAGTTACTGATGCTTTTAGTTTTTCCACTGTTCAAATACAACAAGTTTGGGAACATAACATTAACTGGATAAAAAAAACATGATAAAAACGAAAATTGCAACCTGCTTGTTTCGAAAAAACATCACACTTATCTTATCAGGGGCAGTAAAAGGGTATTCACTTGGGCTAGATTGTGGTACATTTGAGGATTAAAAGCGCTAAAAAACGAGGACCAGTTCAGGAAGATACACACACAGTAGAGTGCACTTGCAAGTGACGCTTAATCTGACTTAAACTCAAGAAGAAACATATATGCCTCATCAAACAACCATCGACATCATGCAAACACATTTTCTAATAATCTACATATAATCTTTCTAGCTTGAGGTAACAAAGGACTGTAGATACGCCACCTCCAAATCATACAATGCTATCGATGGGGCGCTAATGCATGTGTCGCCGTCGCACTTCCTTATGAAAAACGTTTCCGAAATTTCCTTAGTCAATTTGTTACGGTTTCTGCTCAGGATAACGATTTCCTGAAGCTTTGGGCCACAATCACATCGGTTGCAGTGTACCGCTAGATTACTCGAGAGCAAAGATCTTACTGACAGCGCACATTCCTTTAGTCTGTCATTTACATACTTTCTGGTTTGTCCTATGTAAACCCTCCCACACATTAAAGGTATTCTATACACCACTCCTTCTTTCCACTCTACATATTTAGTTTCATGCTTCTTCTTATATACAGGGTGTTTCACGTAAGGTGGACAAATTAGAGATTGCGAAAACTATGCGTCGCACAAAGAAAGGCTTGTGTCGTTTTGGTCCTGGGCCAGGGGCCCATTTAGGAAAATTATTAAAATCCGGGATAATTAGATTGTTATTATTTTTGCATAATTAACTTTTTTAATATTGTGTCAAAGGGCATGGTTTCAATTAGAAAATTGCTCACCATCAACAAAAACCCCTAAATCAACAAATTGCAGAACGATAGAAGGAACACAAAGCATTTTAAGGCTTATTTGTGCGGTTTTTCAGAAAGCCTTAAAATGCTTCGCGTGCCTTCTATCGTTCGGCAATTCGTTCATTTAGGGTTTTTTGATGATGCTGCGCAATTTTCTATTTGAAACATGCCCTTAAACCCAATATTAAAAAAGTTAATTAAGCAAAAATAATTAACAATCTAATTATCTCGGACTTCAATCATTTTCCTAAATATAGGCCCCTGACCCAGGACCAAAACGACACAAGCCTTTTTTTGTTGCAATGCAGTTTTCGCAATATCGAAAATGTCCACCTTTCGTGAAACACACTGTATGCACACCCTTAAATCTCCCCTTTCTGTTCTTGCACACAGTTCACCCAATTTCTGAGGCGCCGAGAGTAGTACCGGTACCCCATGCTTTTTGCCCACTTTCTTCAGACTATGGCTAAATTTGTCACATATGGTATCACGGTCGGTCTAACATTCCGCCTGATCTTCCCACGACCCTTTCCACCTCCCCGAAGTTTTCGTAACAATCCTTCTGCCACATGTTTAATAAGCGTAAGTGGGTACCTTCCATCCTCTAGTTTCATCACCTGTATACCAAAGCCGTCCTCTATTTTGTGTGAGCACAACTTAGTCAGCGAGGCTCCCAAACCGAACCTAACCAGTTTGTCTGGTTAGGTTCGGTCAAGTCTTTGCGGTCACATGTCTTCATCTTCCTTATTTTTTCTTACTGTGTAGACATGCATTTATTGTCGTTCTTCTTGTAGATAAGCCCAGCTGCGTTTGAGATTTCGTTCCGCACTGTCCGTTATTTTTGTTTTTCTTCGTCTCAGGGTTCAGATCGCAATGTTTCCTGACCAACTGACCTGCATATTTTTCCTTACAACTACTTTCACCTTATTTTCCTGCAACTGACTCTTCACATACTTAGCTTTGGGTTTCAAGGTATGTGATGTGCTTACGATTCGTAACTGCCGCCAGCAGTGACGTTTGCAGGCATTTCTTGTTCGAGATAAGGGGTGTGAAGAAGGGGGCAGGGGGTATGGTCACACAACGATAAAGCAATGCTTAGAACAGCACGACTTTCCACTCTCTACAATAGAGTCTCGTTTTCCAGCTTTTGACGCTTCCAGTGATGTGATTGGCCTAAGCCATTTTGGAGCAGCTCTTGGAGCAGCCAAAACAGTGTTTTGGAGCAGCAAAAGTGGCCTTTGGAGCAGCCAGAACAGTGCTCTGGAGCAGCCAGAACAGAGCTTTGGAGCAGGAAACGTGGCTTTTGGAGCAGCCAAAACCGTGTTTCGGAGTAGCGAAAGTGGCTTTTAAAACAAAAATTCTTAGAAAAAATTTGTATTTTGTTTTAAGTGCTGGACAAACGAAGGACGCTTTGCGCTGTGTTGTGACGGAACTCGCTTTTTGTGTTTTTACTGCTGAGAGATCCCACAAGTGTACAGTGTTGTAGGCGTTGCCGAACGATTCCGAAAAGAACGCTTGCCACCGTTTTACTGGTTCCCGACGTGCCAGATTTTCGTCAAAAGTAAGCAAACGTAAAACAATGAATTACAAAAGTACCGGCTGGTGCCTCTGTCGTGCAGTCATGCTCACATGCACGTGAGGGCAACATCAGCAGGCTTGCAGTGGTATGTGCTTCGTCGCGCAAGCGGAGACAACGGCTGTTGAATCGAAATCGGAACAATGCCACTCCGCTCCGTCGCCAACTGGTTCCCAATATAGTATGCGAAATGTAACTCTCCAGCATACGACAAAACAACACTCCAGCGGCGCGTGCTTGCCAGACCGGCAGGTGAGGTACAGTGCTAATCACACTTGTCTATAATGCACGAGCGTGCGGATTTCTCTGGGGAGCGCTAGACTGGTAGCATTCGCGGAAACTAAGCTAGTCACGTGGCGCAACATGGAACGGCCCGCTCAAGGGGTGTCCTGCCCACTCTATCAGCTGGCGGCGAACGCGGAAGGCTGCTCGCACGCTTTTTACAAACATCATTGGTCGAACAATAAACGAACTAGAGCATGAAGGCATATCAACGATGTAGTCATCAAAAAACAAAAACAAAATATATCACGAAGCACTTTTATAGCTTATCAAGCTGGTATAAGGCTTGCTACTATGCAAAAAACCAAAGTATATCAATTGACCGGATTTAACAGGACTGCGCATAGTATCGAGAGAGTCCTGCAGGACGAAAGCACTGATCGCCGACAATGACACCGCGTTCGCCGCCAGCTGATAGAGTGGGCAGGACACCCCTTGAGCGGGCCGTTCCATGTTGCGCCACGTGACTAGCTTAGTTTCTGCGAATGCCACCAGTCTAGCGCTCCCCGGAGAACGCCGCACGCTCGCGCGTTATAGACAAGTGTGATTAGCACTGTATAATATAAAGACACAGGAGAAAAGAACCTGAGCGCATCAATGCAAGACATCGCGAGCCAGGGTAAAAAATTTCTTGAAGCGCTTTGTACAACGACTGAACTTGAGACAAACAAGCGCGCTGCGTGGGTTCAGCGTGCAGACACTGCCTTCTTTGCTTTAGATCGCTTCTCTTTACCAACTTTCTTTCGTAGCAAATTTTTCACGTACCGGGGTCCCCTTCGAAAGAAAGCCCACCGAGAGGAACATAGGTCATCATTATTTCGACAAGCAGTCTTTGAATTAAAGGGGCACTTGCACGAAATTTGAAAAACAGCCGTCGTGTTTAGAAATAGGTTGAATGTGATCCAAACTTTCCTTAAATGGTAATTGCACATTTGTATTTTGAGCCTGATCGCTCTATTTTTGTTTATAAACGGACTATTCTGGCATGCGCTCGGAGAGCAGCCAACAGAAAACACGTGACATTCGCCGCAATCCTGACGTAGTTCGTATCGGAACGAACAAAGCTTCGGGGAGGCTGATGTCGAGAAGATGTCCAAACATTTCCAGCCACCGAAGCGGCTGCTTTCGTACGAATTTTGAGTGACGGGTTAATCCTCTGTAACCTTGTAGGGGGACAGTAGCGACTTCTCGGAGACACAAAGGACATTCTCGTAAGGAGGGGACCTCTTCCTTCCCCTTTTCTCTCGTGGTGGCCGGAGGCGAGACAGTTATCGTCACTATATGTCAAAGTTCCTATACGGGCATTACAAACAAGGCGTTAGAGACATCCACCAGGTGCTCCTTGCTAATCGTTTAATTGGTTTTAAAATTCCTTTTCGTGCCTTTCTCAACAAGAGATTGGTGTCTGATGTGATAGTGCTCCCTTAAACACGAATAGACCAAGAAATAAGCGCCGAAATTTCGTTGTAATATCCTTTTAAAGAGGGATTTTTGTATAGTAGAGTATGATTTAAACAAGGACAGGAATGTCGATGAACAAGTCTAGAAAGCAGCATATCTGCAGCGACGTGGGGACGGCAACACCCGACGTCGAGCGACCAGCGTTTCAGCTCACAAAGCAACTCTCGTCGCGCAAAAACGTGGATTTGTTTCACAGCATGACGGTATGTCTGGCACGCTAGCGTCGGAGCATCCGCACACGCCCGCGTCTATCGTTGAAAAAGTTTAAAAAAGACGCGAGACGAGGTTCCCGCGACGACGAGGCGCGAAACGCGAGACGGCGGCAAAACCATGCAAGACCAGATGGATACAGGGTACTTTGTGTCGGGCGGCCCCTTGCGCCACCTAGCTCACGCATGCTCAATTACGTTCTTAGTTTAGTCTCGGTTTTGAAAGGCGACCGAAATTGTTCCTTTGGCGCAGGCTTGGCGCAGATTACCCATATTTTGGCTAAATGTAGCAGGATGTAGCAGGGTTAGCCCCTTGGCGCAGTTTGGCGCAATTGGCGCAGCAATCACATCACTGCGCATCCGTGAAGGCGACGTTATGCGACAAAGCCGCTATAACGAAGACGTCGCCTCGCTCCGAGTGAAAGTTTGTTTTGTCGTAGCTTTTCTTATTCGAAGGTCATATGTTACTCAATGTTCTGCCATCACAGGTTAGTTCAAGTCACCGCAAAAGGCCAAGGGCAGTTTAAAAAAATAAAAGATGGAGTTTTTTAAATATTGACGCCCAATCTTGCCACATTTTGAGAAATTAGCTGCATTTCCGCGTCAGTAACAAGAAGACAATTAAGGGTCGGCATATTATGTTTAAATATTCGTAAAGATAATTTAAAGACAAACATTTTGACATGTTTTGTGAAGTATTATAAAAGATTTGCTAAAAAAATGAATATATCTCTAAAAAGCGTTTTTATGCCATGTTTGATTTTTTTTTTTCACATAGAAATATTTTGATATTTTTACTTTTTTGAGTAGGTGTTTTATATCTTTTGTAAAATGTATTAAAAAAGTTATGGTGAGATGAAAGCTTGGATGAGAAAATGACGATAGTATAAATTAGCATAGTGAAATCTTCTCAATTTCTACCCCTTGAGCTTCTCTATTTTATATCTCAGCAAAAACAATTGTTACAGCATTCACATATAGCTAAATGTTCCTTGCAAGAACATAATTTCATATATAATTTTAACAAAAATATGAAAATTATGACCCATTTTTTTCCTTGTTCAATATTGAAAAGTAATGCACAGCTTTGGGCTCGTTATTTGCGATCTACACTTCATAAAAAGCAAAATGAGCACTTGTTCGATGCTTTTTGTGAAAAATTAGAATGTCGGAGCGTGCGCACAAAAGATACTTTTTTCTGTCGTTGGGTTGGGCACTAAACAAAAACTATATAAGCCATATTAAAACTGATGACTGTTTTAAAAGAGCAGGCAAAATTCTATAAATATCCGAAGTTTCATTGTCCTCGGGCAAAAATTAAAAAAATGTGTCTCTCCACGTAGCATGTTCCCTTGACATGGGACTAGTGGCTGCAGGAACATACCTGAAAGCTGACATTTCTCCAAACTCGAGAGATTGCTCCTCTCTGATGCAGGAGCCGAGACAGCAGTGCTGTCCACTACCAGATCAGCCAGACTGATGGACAGCTCCCAAGAGGCACTCCCAAACCCTGTTGCATCTGCAAGGGTCCGGCCTTTATCACCTGCCAAGACAAAGTATTAGCACCAATTCTCTATCCGCAGCAGACACAATCACATCTCTCGGACTAAACATGCCTAAGAAATCTCTCGGGGGTGCCAGGAAAGCAGTGTTCATTTGCTGCACCGACGAGAAAATGCTGGTCGCTGAAACTAGTGGTATTCCTTGGATGAGTTGACAATCCAACTGCTCGTCAGGTGCGATTGGTGCATAGCTGCCTCCTGGTCTGCTGCATGCGAAACTGAGGCTCAACACCGGGGCTGGGGGCAACTTCTGCAGTGGAAGCAGCATCACCGAACTGCGGTGCGGGATGAGCACAAAGTGAAGGCTCCCGCTTGGCTCCTGAGCAGCAGGATCTGCCGTCAAACAGAAGAAACAAAAAGACTATAACAACTTCTCGGAGCAGTCAAAAGAAACCTTCTTCTAAGCTGCTATGGCCCAGTATGGACCCCTTTGTTTAGGCAGAAAAGAAAAACAGAAGCTTCCTGTGGGTGGTGCAAGCTTGAAACTAACTCCTTTGCCTGTCAAGACACTAGCACTGGCCTACCCTGCAGCCACTGGCCTGTCTGAACTGCTGTCCTCCAAGTGCGGCTGGTGCATTGGGGGGGCCCGCTCTTCAGGTCGCACACATCCCAGTAGGACAGGCGGACAACTGCACATCTCTGCTTCCAAGAAGAAAATTGACAAGAGCATCTTTCAATGTGCTAGTCTGCCAAACAGCAGACAAGGCAACTGCTTTTTTGCACCACTACTACCCGACACAAGACCAGAGAGAGTAGACGCACCTCTGGATTGGCGATGCAGTATGCAAGGAACTTGGAGGCCTTGCTCACACAGGCTGACTTAGTCACCCTAGTTAACGCTTTCGTCAAGGCGCAAGAATGAGACGCAAAACTGAGCACCTCACCAAAGTTGGGTAATAAAAGGATACAGCCTGAGTGGCACCGGACATAGCAGGTGTGCTGGAAGACTCTCAGAGTCAAATTCATCCAGGACCTCAATGGCGCAGCTCCACAGAAGATTGTCCTGGGCAAGAGGCCTTAGCTGCAACAAACAACACTTGGAACATATAATCTTGTTCAGATAGTTTAAGCTCTAACAAGAGTGCCTGTCAAAAGTAACTCCATACACTAAATTTAATTTTTGTTCCTCAGAATTTGCACCAAAGAGTGCAGGATGTGATCACAGAAGGCATTTCAGACCATCAAATGGGAAATCTTACTTGGTCATCAATCAAGACTGATACACGAAACCAACAAATGAAAGAATACTTTCACTTTATTAGGAGTTCTGTTCGGTTCGCCTGAACTGGCTGAACTATAGTAAGTTACAGGTTAAGAAAAGTTTTCGAGGGAAATGAGGGCTGGGGAGGAGGGAGCAAACAGAATGCTGCAGAAAAGAGGAGGAAACCTCCTCCTCTCTCCAGACTATAGTTCAGCAGTGCAGGAGCTGGCACATTCAATTCAACTGGAAGTTGCACTGGCACATTTGATTCATCCCAGTTCTGAATGAGTCCAGACCCAGTTCCTCAAAACCTTGCACCAGCTCCCGAGTCAGTTCAGCGTCCGTGCAGAAGCAGACGACATTTCTTGTCCACCTCTGCTCGTGGTGCCATTTCTCGGAGCTCTTGCTCAAATATCTGCAATTTTTAACAATAACGCAGAGACGGAGGTTACATTTCCTCTCATTTATGTAAATAATGTACCAGTGGTGGACGTGGAATCGAGGTCCTAACCGAGGGTAGGAATTTGATAGATCATGATATTCTGCGTTTTGTGCACTTGCTCGTGCAGGCTTGGCTTCCTGTTGTAAGCGTTGAAAGATTGGCTTACGTAAATTGTTTCTTTCTGATGCTACGTGGAACTATTTTCGTATTTTTAAAAGACAGGAAAAGTATCACACTCTTGCTAGCCCCTGCCTTCAGCAGCTCTTGGATGAAAACCGACGATCCCAATACTTTGCAGAGGTCTGGGATTTAGTACATTGACACTTGCATGCCCCGTAACTGAGCATAATACTGCACGCTTTGTCCCCTGGGATCTGTTGCCGCCCACCAACGGGTCTGGGGAAAACGCAGAGAATCGCCACTGGCTCGGTACTTCTTTGCGGATCTTTCTTGAGAATCGCTTCAACTTGATGTCAAAGTGACTATCGATAACTGTTTTGGCCAAGACGCTCTCGTCAGGCCTTCGACTTCTAAGTGACTGCTGCCGCGCGCTGTCACCTGTGACTCCCGACGCGAAATCATCCTAATGCCACAAACTTATCGTCGAAATACGAAACTCGAGAAAACTGAAATGAATCTACTATTGGAAATTGAATGTGAAGGACACGAACGCTAATGGAAACGATAGGAAACGGACAGCCGTTAAAGGTGCAGACAGAGACGCATTTCGTGCAGAAAAAGTTTTTAGTACACTCAAATAAAGAAACATTCACAAAAGAGATTTCGTTTCTATGCTTTAAAACTAAGGAAATGCGAATGGTCTGATCAAACCGCAAATAATTAAATGTATCATACGACGCGGCGTGGAGAAATGAGAGCCAACGGATGCAGACGACACCCCGTGCTTCGCCACAAAAGCCGATCACAGCGTGCAGTACGGTGGCTGCAACGGCTCTGCGCTGCCGCTGCACGACCCCTGCACTCCTCTGAACTCTGAAAAAACTAGTTCAGAACTTTCTGGCCAAATCGAACAGACCTATTGATTCATTAGTCTTTTTGTTTTGCGAATTTTTAGATGCATATATTATTCCATGACTGACTGTTCAAGTAGTCCGGACATGGTAAAAGTAAACTATGAGTTAACTATACTTCTAGGACCCATAGTGTATTTCTATAATCCTGCTAAAATTGGTTTGAAAATGGCACGATAGTTTCGTGGATAAATCAATTTATATGCGGGGCCCTCAGACCAGCCCCATTCGAAAAGGCTAACGTAGCTGGAGGGACTGGTGGTGTAACCAGCCAAGCGCGCGGCGTATCCTTGCACGCGATCAGACTTTGCATCTCGAGCTTAAGCTTCCTCGTTTACCTTCCACATTTCGAGCATGCGATCTGTGACGATTATGTCTTTGGCATCGCTCGCTTTGTCCAAGTCTTTGACACCGATCGCAGCAGCGATGAGAGTGAGAGATGTTCGAAGCTGTTCATTTGGACTGCAACTTGCTGGCGACCAGCTCCAGTGATGGTGAGTCATGAACGAACTCGCTGTGGTTGTTGTCGTCTGGAACAATCTCGCAGGCGCATGCAAGGTGGAAGGTCAAAGGGACCGTGAGAGAAAGAATAGCGTTAGTGTTGCCGAATTGCGCGAGCGGTTTTGATCGTTCTGTGGAAAGGCGAACTTGGGCGATCATGGGAGCGCCTAGAATGAGAGAGCGTTTATGATAACGTGGTTTACGGGCACCATGGTGCGACTTACTTGAACAGTGTTGCCAATTGTTCCCAGATGAAAACAATCAAAATTCGCAAATTGATTATATTGGAATTACTAGAGCTCTAAAAATCACAAACATTGGTGTATATACTAAGTAGCCTATGAGCATTCCATTTCAAGAATCTTAATTGTTGTGTCCTAACCCCTTTAATTTTTACGGGTCCAATTTTGGTCAACGTGAGAGTGAGAGCTAATTTGCCTCTCACAGAGCAATATCTTTCACAGATCTGCTGAAGCGAACAGGCTTTGTCTCTTACCAAGCATCATTCGCGGATTAAAATAAAACATAAAAATACTGTACGTAGTCTGCTAATAAACCGAAACGGATCGTCTGCTACTAATTGAGTGCTATGGCAAAGAGAAATCAAATGCAGGCTGAAATTGTGATCCTCGGCTATTTCACGTAAGACGAAACTGACAGGCCATGCTTCCTTTGCAAATTGCAAGTTGTCAGGATAACTTGCAATTTGCAAAGGAAGCACAGGTTGCCAATCACTGTCAACTGGTAGATGAAGCAGCGCTCGGCGCAAGCACATCAGGGGTTGAGACCTCTCCCGCCATTGGTGCGTTGATGAGCAGTTCTCACCAAACTGCCAATCGTGAACTTGTGAATGGGTTGAACATTTCTCATTGGTCGATGAAGTGCACCCAGCAGAAAGCTGTGATGCCACGCTTAATCAGCAGCCAAAAATACCCTCACTCTCATCTTCACCAAAATCGGACCCCAGGGTCTGAAAGTGGGAGATGATGCGATTTTCATTCAAAACTTTTTGTCGAAACCCTTTGTCGATCTTCGTCAGGCGCATCCTTTTTCCCAGAATCAAACGCGCTGCCAGTCCCGAATTAGTGGAATCACTGACCTTGGAGGACAGTGGCATGAAAGTTGGGACAGCTCATCGGCCACCACGGATTGTCCCACTGCTTTTGTTGGATTCGGCCCAGAGCTAGACGAGAGTTTCAACTACATTTTCGTTTAATTTTACCACAGAAGCAAGAGCAACATACTTTTCTTGTTACAGAAACAGTTTGCTTGAGAACCACTCAATTTTTGTCACCACATAAAGCAGAAGGGTAGCAGGATAAAAAAAAAATTTGAAAAGCTCCAATACTTGGGCCTAGGCCCATGTTCGGACGCGTGCGTGGTTTCCCAGTGCTGTCCCATTATGGTAAGTTCGAAACGTTGTAGGAGTATACAAATTGTGAATTAAACCTGAACCCTTAGTTTTTCATAAATCATTGAAACACGCGGATTAATAACACCAAAGAAACATCATTTTTTTTTATAAACAAACACAAGAAAAGCTATGGTATAACCGAAAACAGTTTAGTGCCAGCACTGTTGTAGACAAACAAGTTCCTCGCTTTCCTCAGTTACCTCTTGGTGGGATGCTCCGACTCCAAGGAAGGGCTCGGCAGAGGGCCCCGACCACTCAATCTCAAAGTGGCCAAAAGGTGCACCATTTCCCACCTGTGGGAGAAAACAATGCCTTGCAGCTACAGAGCTGTCCAAAGTTACATCAAGCATAATTAAATCCCTTCTTCAGTGCCATGCGAGAAAATACTGAGCGTCCAAAATAAGCGCAAGTGTGACAACAACATTCAGTCAGTTGTGAACAGGCGTAGAATCAACCTGCCCAATCATATGATTTGGATTTTGTGGCTCAGTCTCAGCGGTAAAAAATCCAATGCCTGCACGTAGCAAGCTCTAACTTTAATCCAAGGTGCGTTTAAGTGGCACATTTTACCTCGTGAAAATTTCCAAGCGTAGCTTCAAGGGAAAATGAGAACAACATCCTGGGGCACTTAAATGGTGGGGGGCCGACGCAGCTGACCAGGCTATGCAGTCATGTTTGGTCAAGAAGGTCAAACCAGAGCTTAACTGAATTGAAAAGCAACCTGTGGGACATATCTTGGACACATTTTCTAACATTACACCTGACTTTACTTTGCTTCTGTAGCTCTAGCAGACTGAGCAAAAACTACCGAACTGTGATAAATGCACATTTTTTTACTTTTAACATAAATGTTCGCACCGCTAGCATCAAAGTAAAAAAACAATTGCATTTTTTTCAGTGGTAAAAAGTGAATTCTACAGCAATAAAACCAAAATGGCTAGTACCGATACTCATTTCAAGGCAGAGTGGTGTGTCGCCAAAAATTCTGGAAAAACAGTCTTTGTTTTTCCAAAATTTTTCCAGAAAAAACAAACTTTCGCAGCTGGAACATTCTTCTAATATTAATCATGGGCGGTGATAGGCGAAATTAAGAAATGGCAAAAGTGAGTGTGGAAACCTGCAATACATGCACTGCTACCAAAGTTTCGAACTGGAACCGAACCGAAAACCAGAACCGAACCATTATTTTTAGCCGAACCGGAACTGAACCGAACCAAAGTCTTCTCTGCCATCTTGGAAGTGCACCTAAATCCGACACAAAGAGCTGAGGTTCGATAACCGTGAGGCCATGGGTGCACTGCCTACATGGCCAGCTGCGTGCATGGCAATATAACATTAACCTCCAGAGGAAGTATTTTGCAAAGTTTCGAGTTCATGCAAGCTGACAGTGTTGGGAAGTACTTTAAGTACATTGTACTTAAAGGGACACTGACACCCCAAAGGTCATATTCTTTTTTATTGCCTAAAACGATGCAAGTTGTAGTCATAGACACGCAAAAAAACCACATTGCGAAAAAAAATTTCCCCGTGTGCGCGTGCTCCTTTTTATTTTTGGCGTTTATATTTCCCGCGCTCACCTCCTTGCTTCTTTTGATCGGTGACGTCAAAAATCAGGAAATTTAGAAGCTTTGTAGGCGACATTTCTATAACATTTAATAACGGCAATCGTAAAACATGTTTTTTAATGCAATAACGAACGCACTACGCCCTTTCTTTTTGAAATACCAAAAATCAGATTTCGGTGTGATATCGCTTCCTGAATTTGTGTTCTCCCTCGGAAAACTTGGCGGCGCCCGAGCAGAGGCTTATCGCAGAGTCGGGGAAGAAACCGGTTTTTCCCCGCGCCGGCTCCCTTCTATACCGCCTGCTCCCCTCCTCCTCTCTTCGGGTCGCGGTAGCAACGGCGCTTTGCTTCACAGCGTGGTGCGGAGGTCCAAAAGAAAGTCGAGTCGCAGGAGACCGCAAAATTTGACTCACTGCACTGGCGCGGATCGCGCGGGAACTTCAAATTCGGCATTTGGAAATTGTTTTTTTAATTCACAAATACTGAATTCCCAAGTTTCAAATTTTGAGGGTAATGTCCCGGCATCATTTTCAATCGTTTCGGATAATAAAATAAATTACGATTTTGATGTGTCAGTGCCCCTTTAAATTACTACTTTAAGGAGGTTTGGAATACTGGTACTCTACTTCAAGTACATTCTCTGAGTATGTACTTTACTTAAAGTATTTTTTCTGGTACTTTCCGAGGAATGTACAACTCCTGACTTTAAAGCACATTCCCCAAAATTGGTCCTGTTAAATATGTATCACAAAATGATGTTTTGTCAACTTTGAATTCACTTGTCTTTATCCAATATTCGCTGCCATTTCCGAAAATAACTAATGCACCCCGGACTACCTTAAAAAAATGCATACAAGTTAAAAAAAAAAAAAAAAAAACTATAGGTGAATGAAAGGGCAGCATGAAAGAGTACTTGTACTCTTTCATGATTCAGTTAAGAAGTACTAGCACTCTACTATGAAAACACATTCTATTTGCAGTACTTCAAGTACATCGCACCCAATGTACTTACTGCTTTACTTGAAGTACATATGCTCTTATTTGCTCTGTACCAGGTACTTTTTAGATGTACTTTATCCAACACTACAAGCTGATGCCCAAATGTTTTCGTGTATTTGCCTTCAAATTTTTCGTATGAGCAGAAAGTAATTTTTAACATACTCCTTGGCCTGGTGTTTTCACACTGCTAAACAGCAAACAAAAACCATGTTTCCGCAGATCGGCGCAACAGCTGGCATATTTTCGAGCATCGTCCTCCCGTGTCGGTCTCAAGCAGTTATGTGAACTTCATACAGACAAATTTATTGATGATAATAAAAATATATTTGATGCTCTGCAAATCTTTTTGGGCATTTTTATTCTCGATAGGCGAATGTGTGTATAAGTGATTTGGGAGAGCCTTAAACATCTTTTTTAAATTTTGAAGCTGGTTTAAACGGATACTGAACCGAAATTTTGAGCTCACAAAACAAGGCTAGACATTTAGGCAGGACGCAGCAAAGCCCAAAAACATCACTCATACATCAATATCTCTAGCGGATCGCCATATTTTTGGAAAAGAAGTGCGTGATTAAACACGGCCGACAAGACAAGTCACGTCACAATTCCCCCATTCCTTCTCCTCGCTACGTCCCGTCGAATATTGTGTTCCACGATATTCGACCCCAAATTTTACACTTTTATCCGGCTAATGTGGCAAAGTTTGGCTATATTGCCCACTTTAACAGGTTTGAGTGGATAAAAAGTCTAATGAAGTAGACAATCCGGGGGCAGATATCTCGGAATACGGGCTGGCTACATGAATTCCACAAAATGGAAGTCTTGGCATACGACCGCCTCAAAGATTGTAATATAAACACATATCCTATTTACAGTAATTAAAAAGTTAATTAATGAATTTTAGTTAATTAGTCAGATAATAGGAATGGTTACATTCTTGTCTAATGTCCGCCGAGCCATGTAAACATGTAGTGAAACCTACATTCACATAACTTCTCCCCCCGCTTATTTAAGGATTTAGTGCAGCTAAGAAAAAAAGAAATAACACCTTGTTGAAAATAATCCCTGGAGAAGGGGAACAAGAGGGACAAAGGACAAACATAAATCTCCAAACACAGCTATGTGACTGGTACGCGACCAAAAAAATCCGCCTGGTCATTCTTGTCTAGCTCGCTTGCACCTTTGCATTTAATTGCACTATAATTATAACACCTTGTATTTTACGATATACATATACGGCGACGAGGCGCCCATTCCACGATTTTATGCACTGTAATTAATTCCTTAGTTCAAGAACACAACTACGATTAAACTTTTAATGCTGTGATGCAAATCACGGATATTTTAGGCCACCTACCACACTTAGTGACAACCTTTCGATTCAGGTAAAATATGTGACTAAGTAGGGATGTTGAGTCATACAAACAGGACATCATGTACGTTAATCTAGATTTTCCTTTACTGTGGCATTAAAATAAATAACGCAATTTGTTCTATTTTTCGCACCTGAAAAAAAAAAAAAGTGGATTGTACGGACAAAAAAAAAAAAAAAAGAATTTATAGTTGCTCGGTTCATGGTGGAAATAGTGCCTATTGGCAAAACAATGCGGAAAATATAATTTAAATTTAGCAGTTCAAACCGGTTCGAACCGGTTCAAACCAATGTTTTTTGCTCTCCAGAACTAAACCGGAACCGAACCGAAAAAAATTTCAATTCACCACTCTGATCGCTACCCTGTGGCAGAAGCTCTCGATACTGAGCCTCAAGAATAACTCCCGGCGCCACTTTGTTGTCTGCGTTGGCGCCCTTCGTCTAAAGTCTCGGGTTCAGATTTTTGCAGGAATAGAACTATGCCTAGAATTTCAACAGGGTACACCACCAGAATAGACCTCGAACGAAAAGTGCAGCTTGCAGATTGCATCACCATTAAAATCGGCCCAAATGTGTGACTGCTAATGCCTGGCAAATCTCAACAAATGCTGTCAAAAAAGCCGCAAACTAACCTCTGGTGCCACCTTCGAGCTCACCTTGGCCAATCCTCTCCACAGGGGCAACTGGCTGGATAAGACGGGGGCCTCCCCGATGCTGAGCAGCTCCCGCCAGGGTGCAAAGCGAGCGCCGCCACCCAGGAGTGGTGTGTGGTGCCACTTCCACAGCCGCAGGAGGGCTCCGTACAGCGGCACACTGCCCCTGCAACACAGGGCCCCACTGTCCACTAACTTCCTTTCACTGCCTGGACACCAAACAAATCTTTGCCTCCCTCCTTTAGAATTACCAGTAATTCTAGAACATGCTTCTATTTAGACAAGTCAACCCCGAATTAGAAGCCTAGTTCAGATTCGCTCAAATCAGCCTTGCAACTTCCATAATTTGCGGGGAAAGATTATCTTGCAAAACATGCGTGTTATCCAGGAACTTAAAACATTTCCCACGAAGGAAAGCGGCAGAAAGAAAACAATATAAAGGAGTGGCACAACTCTGGTGGCCGCTTTGCGCAATCACCCCTTCAAGCACAGACCATCGAGCGGAGGGTGTATCTCGAAACAACCCATTCTTATTTGAACCCTTCTCATTTGAACCCCTTCGCAAAACGCCCTTCTTGTTTTAACCTTTCGCGTTTCGACCCTTTCTTATTTATACCCGTCTCATTTGAACCCATCCTCATTTGAACCCTTCTCGTCTGAACCCATTCGCAAAACGCCCTTCGCGCTTTAACCTTTCGCGTTTCGATCCTTTCTCATTTGAACCCGTTGTCATTTGAACACCGTAGTGAGGTATAGAGAAAGGAAAAACAGTTAAGGATGAAGGTTGAAGATGAAGCGAAGCGGCACCATCTCTTGCATAGCACATGAAACAATTTTCCTTATGCCTGCGTGCCACCCCGAGTCTGTTGACGTAGCTACATGGTCACATGGTGACGTGGTTTCAAAAGTGCTAGCGCAGATTCGGTACTTCATTTCTCTTCTGTCGCTGTATGTCGTAAGATGTCGTCGTGTGGAGCGGATGGATCATTGTGCTAGTCGTGTGTTATTGCTTGTAATGGCCCATTCGGGTGTTCATTTTCCCTGAAAAAAGGTTTTCCCATATCTTCGGCAAGGGCGTTTGCGTGGTCAAAGGCTGGCGGGTGCAAGCTTTTCGGGTTGCGCTTCTCAGGCGTGTACCGGCAATTTACCAGCAGAAGTTTTCCCGAGCTCCAAGAGGTCGGGCAGCTTGTCTGCCAGTCTGTATCCAGTATCGTCACATCCGGATCGGGATAGGGAACCAAACGAAACAATGCTCGCTGAGGCGGCAAATAGCGGGTTCGAGTGGCAAACGAAGCCATCGAACAGGCACCTTTTTGTGCTCCGAGACAAGATAGCGAAAACAACAAAGAGAAATATAATTTATGTTTCAAAGAAAGTCAACATTTTTGGAAGAATTTATCCAGCCTGAGCAAGGTATGTTTGCTCTGAGACACGGGCTGCATCATACATCACCTTATTTTACAACTCTGTAATAACAAGTTATTACACCACTGAAAAAAAAGTATGCATAGTGATGCAGTTTGAAACTTGAACACGCATTACAATTTCAAGGAGGGTGGGTGCAATGAGAAGACTGAGGATTCCAATAAAGGTACTAGAGAGTTTTAGTACAGTAAAACCTCGTTATAACAAAGTTGAAGGAGCAGTCGTAATTATTTCGTTATAACCATTAGTTTTTTATAGCCAATGTCCATTTCTTCCCACTATTAGCAAGCAAGGGGAATTATGATTGTTCTGTTATATCCATTAGTTTGTTATATCCCATTTTGTTATAACGAGGTTTTACTGTAGATCATTCCGATACCCCCGATAGCCCCGATAACGATACTATGCATGCGCAAGGGAGGCGGTGGCGAAGTATCAGGTATCGCTATCGGAGTCATGGGAACGATCTACAAAAACTCTCTACTAACAGTAAACAGAATATGGAAAGCGACGCTGGCAAGCCTCCGTGGCAACAGTTAATCGAAAATCCAAACGAAGTTTATTGAAATTTGACGCGCGTACGGGCAGCACCACACTGATTTATACATCTGCCCCTTCATTGATTTTATATTTTAATATTCTGTCAGCTGTACGGACTGTGGTAATGCCAATATTTTGAAAAGTTTTGTGTAGCCGCTTTTGTTTACACACATCTCAAAGAGTCGTAGTTTATGTTGTTGGCGTATGCAGCGTGCTCATGGTACCATAGAATGATCGAAGAAGAAGTTAACAGAGCTCACTCGCAACCCAGTCAAATAAAAACGCCAGTTCATTGTGCTTTGCATTCGGGTGGAGAGGGTCACGTGATGCGCCGTTGGCGTGTTTTTGGTCGCCAATGCCACAGGCAAGGGCTCGAAGGCAATTAATTACCCGAATTCGCCATAAATACCGCAGAAAGATTGCGAGATCATGATGTTGGAATAATTTGGGTTCGAAATGAGAGAAATTAAAATGAGAAAAGTCTTTCTGACAATGCTCAAAACCAGAAAGTATGTTTTGAGAAAATTTGAAATGAGAAAGGTTAAAATGAGAAAAGTCGTTTTGAGAAGGGTCCAAACCCGAAAGTTTGTTTTGAGAACGGTCTAAACGAGAAAGGAAGAAACGCGAAAGTTGTTTTGCGCTGGGTTGAAATGAGAAGGTAAAAACGAGAAGGTAGAAATGCGAACGGGTTCAAATGAGAACCACCCCGAACGGAAGGGATATAAGTGCTAAACAATCGCACAACAAACGGTGCACGCAACTTTGTCGTCGCCATCTGCTTTCCACACCGGAAAAGCAGAGAAAAAAAAGAAACGCGGTTCAGTGTAGCCACGTGACTTCCGGCAACTCTCTCCTCTACATTTCTCCCTCTTCCTCGGTACACGTCGTCCACATGTCGTGGCCATGAGCTTCCATGCTCATGTTTTGGTTTCGGTTTCGAGCAGTTAAGTTTTAAAAATATGCGCAACTCTATAGAAAAATAATGTTTGGTTAATCTCCTGACACCGTAATAAACCGCCTGGCGAAACATAAAAAGAAATTTAGGGGGGGGGGGTTAAGCCTCATTCACACAGCCGTTTTTCCTCAGTCCCAGCAGAAGTGCCAGGCAGCGTTTTCACCAGGGGAGAGGGTTTTTAGACCGGTTTGGGACGTCAATCGCGCCGCCAGACCCGCAAGGAGCCGAAAGACGTTCTCTGGCGCTGACGGGAGACAGGGGGTACCGAAGTCCTGCCCCGATGAGGGAAGACCAATCCCAAAATAGGAAACTTTCGCTCAATCTGGCGGATTCTCAAAAGTTGGGTGACCATGGGCACAGTCTCGGGAGGGGGGATTGACCATACCCTGCCCCAACGACAAAGCCAACAAAGCACTTTTCGGGAAGGAGCGGGACGACGTGCGCATTGTGCGATGCTTACGGCTCTTGAACAACGGGCATACAGAAATTTGAATTTACCACTGAGCTGCTGCTCGAAATGATGAGACCACATCGGTTCCTTTAAGATAGACGTAAATGTGATTCTAAGGAAGAACATCCAAAGGAAGAAAATACGGTGGTCAATCACCGAGGAACAAATGTGGCATAACGAGCGGTTGATGTGAAACGTGCTCGCAGTGGGTCTTGTCCCTTTTGTTTCAAAAAGTGGAGACAAATAAAACGGTTTCAAACATGCACGATCGTTATCGCCGACCCAAGAGCAAGCTCCAAGAAACAAAACAGTTCTGGTGGCACCCATCGACGCCGATCGTCCGCTACATTTGGTCATCGGCACTGCCCCAAAGTAATCACAAAGACGGGGTTACAAGATTGGTGGTCTAGGAAAGTGTGAAATGGCACACAAAATATTGGGTTATACCGGTTATACAGTGTAATGGGGTACACAAGTTTGATGCAGAATTTGAAAGGAAAGGGCAGAAAGGTTTCTAGGTTAGGTGACGCCCAATATAGAGGGCACAGCCACCAGCATCCATCCATTCATGTAGCCACCGCCGGCAGCTCCGCTGCCGCTGGTTCGAACACTCCACCGTCCCTGCACCGTCCAGATTTCAGCACAGCGCCGGGACGGGGCAAGGAGCCTCGTCCCAGCGTTCATGCGCGGCCGATTTGCATATTAAAAAAGTGATCAAAGATCCCGACACTTACCGTTGGTGCAGAACGACAGATGGCTCTGTTGAACCTTGCTGAATATGGTTGAATGACGAACAGCACTTGTCAGCCACTCGCGAGCGATGGGTTGTCATGAGCGACCGACCAGTCCAGCTCGTCCACGCGGGAACCCATTGCTAGCGAGTGGCTCACAAGCGCCGTCCATCGTTCGACCGTATTCAAGGTTCGGTAGCACCATCTGTTGTTCTGCGCCAACTGTAAGTGTCGGGATCTTTGATCACTTTTTTAATACGCAAATCGACCGTGCAAGAATGTAAATTTTGTTTTTTTAGGATGCTTCAAGCTTGTAGATTGAGTTACGACAATAAAACGAGGATCTCAGAAAGTACTTTAGTGCCCCTCTAAGTTAATGGGAGCACTGTATATTGCATATTAAGAAAGAAGTGCCTGTCACAATAAACATGGGTGAACATGGAAAGCTGTCATGGGGCAAGTGCATAGTTCTGCACTTACTTGACGTCCAACTGGTCAAAGAGGCCTTCGTCGAGCACTGCGTCCAACATAAATGTCCCTGCAAGTAAGCCAGCAGATTGCCAGAGCACAGTTTGCACCAAGCTGTCATGGATCAATTTGTGCATTAAACACCCGTTAAATATTCCCCGGGCCCATGTCTACGCCCCGGAAAATTACACCACCTGACTCTTCCTGCTGATAATTTAATGGCAATTGACTATTTTGCGATTGGGACTAAAAACTCATGCTTCAGGCATCTTCACTCTCGTCTTCTTAGCTGTTGTTGTTGAAGGTTTAACACCCTGCTCAATCATGATAAGTGCATATGCGAACCATTGCGAATTAGTGGCAGGAGAACACGTTGCCTTTGAGATTGTTTGCCACAGCCTGAGCCACATGGAGCTGCTCTCAGGAAGACCATGTCCAATTGTGTGAAACTGTACAAATGTCCAATTTAGTTGGGTACATGACTTCAGGTAGTACTCATCTAGCTTTGTCAAGTGATATCAACAAGTGGGCATTTATTTTGTTTACTGCATAAGGCTTGCTCTGGAACTTGCCCTCTGCAGCTTAGGCTCAACGACAAGGGATTGGGAGCATTGTTGATCCAAGCACAAACGTACGGTCCTCTGTTAGCTATGAAGATCCCGCTACTTCTCCCATCTCCAAGCAGTTGGAGGCAAGGGGGACACCAAAAGAGTGCACTTTCTGCTCTAGGTCTGCTATATGCAAGGTCGCCCCTTACTGCAAGACACAGCAAGTGCCCACAAGAAATCGGCAAGGAAATACAGGGCCTAGAGTTCTATTTGTGCACGCTTCATGCATTCTGCTCAAATCTGTTTCATGCAAACAAAAATGCAATTATTATCCACAGCCCCATGTCCAGACCGGCATGGTGGAGCCTAATGTACCTACAGTATATATGTGAAACAAAACAATCTCTCACGGGAATTAAGAGTCGCAAGAAACATGACCTTACCAAAGATGGGCAATCTGTCCAGCAGGTCATGGATCAGCTTTGCCACGCTCTCAGCTTCCCTCCTGAGTTGGAAAAGGCACCAAGGCAACCAAGCCAAGTTTCACGAGAACTCTACAAAATGACCTGGTCCACACGGCATAAAACGAAGCATCTCTAGAACAGAAGACAAAAGCTGGCAAATTGGAAGCCACCTCAGATACCAAGTCAAAGGGTATGTTCCTGCGCTCTTTTAGAGCGCAGCTCTTAGGGGCCCGTTCCCGGCTTGAGCGGCGTCGCCGTCGGCGTAACCAAGGTCATCCCAAGGTCACGTGACCCCCAAGGTCACGTGACCCCTCCAGGTCATGTGACCCCTCCCAAGGTCATCTCAAGGTCACGTGACCCCACGTGACCCCTCCCAAGGTCATCTCAAGGTCACGTGACCCCAAGACCCCACGTGACCCTTTGAAGGTCACGTGACCCCCAAGTCACGTGACCCCTCTGAGGTCACGTGACCCCCGAGGTCACGTGGTCTCCTCCCCAAGGTCACGTGACCCCTCCCAAGGTCATCTCAAGGTCACGTGATCCCAAGGTGACCCACGTGACCCCCAGGTCACGTGACCCCCCGAGGTCACGTGACCCCCCCAGGTCACGTGACCCCCCCCTCCCCGAAGTCACGTGACACCCCCCCCCCCCCGAGGTCACGTGACCGCCCCCCCGGAGCATATTAAAGAATGAGGGGAGGAGGAGGGGTCTACCCTCCCCTCAGTACCCTTCACTCCTCCTCCTCAAGAGCTGCGCTCCAATTCGGCGTTACAGGGATTTGTAAACGGCTTCCACTTTTTTTTTCACAAACCAACTACAGGCAATGCCACGAAAGGCATAAAACACAAGTGCGTAGCACCGTCTCGTGTTTTGGATAGACAAGCAATCACTTCATAGAGCCCTTGTCTTTCACCTCTATGTTCCACCTTACGACCTACTGTAATGGACGGCAAGAGCCGCCAGAGCCAATCCATAGCTATGAACTTTTGGTAGGGCGGGGTGACGCAAGTGACATGGCTCGTAGTGTCCGTCGAAGAACATTGTAAGGTCAGAGGATGACGTCCTGGTGGGCGTCGTGACAAATGCTAGTCAGACATATAATGCAGACATACTTGGTCAACTCTGACGAAAGCTGGTAGAGGTCTTTGAGTTGCTTGACTTTCTCAACGGATCGCCGTAGATCCCCTCGGAATGTGTCAAATGTCGTCTTAGTCCAGGAAATCTGGAACAAAGTCAACAGGGTAACCAAGATAATCTACGCTTTTTAGACAAACGGCATGTTTACTTTTCATGTTTGGTGGCTCTAACTTAAAAATAAGGAAAGAGAAGAAATGCATTGAAAAAATAGCAACTAAACAACAACTGGCAGTAATCAACTACGATTCCAGGGCAGGCTCGACAAAAAAGAGGAAGATAGTGAAAAAACTATGAACCATCATGAAAATGCCCAGGATCAGCAATAAATGTGAAAAATACTATGGGGTAAAAATAACATAAATTTAAATAACACGAATATTTGACATCGCAATTACCAAAAAAAAAAAGCATGGATATACTATGCAGACCTTCGTGACAAGTTTGCAAGAGCTGTCGCAAAGTTATCAAAAAGCCCAAGTGGGCACCAATGCAGTAACCACATTCCTGAGAAATAGGGTTGGACAGGATGCTTTCAAGCCAAAAAGAAATTGTGCCCACAAGGGTAGTTTCTCACTTCCTTCTCATTCTGAATGCACGTTTTGACTACTTTTGGTACAATGTCAAACTCTCACGTGCGCGCGTTTTTTGCTTTTTTTTTTTATGGTGCCTTGAACATTTTTACTTCGTGCCTTATATATTTACTCTCCCAGCATGAAGTAGAAAGCGCATTATTCAGCCAGTTACTTCTTCATCTCTCAATAAACCATTTCCTTCTGTGAAAAGCTGCAGTGCCTGGAGCAGCAGTCACAGGCGCCTTCAAGCTCCAGTCAGGCTCGCAAGTATGCTAACATTCATTACATCAAGCACTAACTATTCCAAGCAGAGTAATTATTTTGGAGCGTCCCTGCAATCCTTCAAATACTGCACACTAGAGGAGTTAACCTGTTTGCGAGCGCTTGTTTCTTATGCTCCAAATTTGAGGAAATCAGCAATGTATCGACAGTAAATTTAAAGGAACTCCAAATGTACGAGATACACTAAGAAAATCACATGCCGAGTTTCAGCAAAAAATGAGCTCCAAAAACCCAGAGCTCTATGTGAAATGAGTTTGGTACAAGGTGCCGACGAACATGGGCAGGCATTGACTGCATACGACCGCGCAGCAGAACGGGTCTTAAAGAAGTCGGGGCGAGGCAGGGGGATTTCCCTCCCTGTGTTTGTATGTATGTATGTATGTGTGTGTGTCTGTGTGTGTGCGTGCGTGTGTGTATTGTAACATATGACAATTGATCAGGCGACGAATGACTGAAGGAAACTAAACATTTACTGGGGCGTCGCAGGCGTCGATGGCGGCTTAGCAGGATCGAGCGCTGGGGCAAGACTGATCCCGCACCGCCACGTGGAGCACCTTTTGTACCCGCATGGGTTTCTGGAACATTCGGCATAGAACGTTCGGCGCAGAGAATATTCATATCTCGATCAGACGACAGGCTTCTCAAACTTATGAAAATGCTAAATTGAAAGAACAAATAAAAGAAGCGTCTGCTACCAGGAATCGAACCTGGGGCCTCTGCGCAAAAGCCAAGCACGGTAACAATTCGGCCACGGAAGCGCTCGCTAGGTGTATATATTCAAAACAGTATTTCCCTTGATGGACAAGGTCTTTTGTGGTGATCACAGGATTAAGCAGGAAATGTTTCGAAACCTGGCAGGTTTTTCCTCAGTCTGTCATAAACCTCAATGAACTTCCTTTTCTTTCATCGGTATAAAATCACCACGCGAAGAAAAAGAAAGAGTGGAGAAAATACTTACCACATGAAAATTATCTACTACCTAAATAAATATCTCGCTTAATGGTTTGATACTGTGGTACTAAAAAGGCAAACACATTATTAAACTGTTAAAAAAAAATTGTCATTCTAGGTAAAACCAGTTTTGGGACATGTGGTTGGCGTGAAGCCAACAATACCTGGTATTATAATATGTTGATCATTTGTTAAAATATTTTTTAACAAGGAAGATAATCGCAGTTACGAGATTGTCTTGGGAGTTGGTGACATTCTGTCCAGAAAATGCGCTCAAAAAGAAATAAATTTTAATATTTTTCCATTTTGCTTTGTAAGACCCACTTCACGCAGACACATATTTTTTAAACATAAAAATTAATAAAGAAGATTGCATCATTTTTTAAGCCAAACAATAAAATAGTGGGAGAAGAAAGGCTGTCACTCACAGCAGCAAAGTACTCATATTCAGGGTGTTTCACGAAAGGTAGCCAAATTCAATATTGCGAAAACTATGCGTCGCAACAAAAAAAGACTTGTGTCATGCAACCAACCTCTGCTGCGTCGCGCGATGACAGCGCAGCGGAGGTTGGTTGCACTATTTCTCCACGGGGCACGGTGCCGTCAGGGTGGAGATGCGCTCCGATGGCAAACCGAAACTTAAAAACCGATCAAATTTGTGCGCTTTTTCAAAAGGCCGTAAAATGCTTCGCATGCCTTCTATCGTTCTGCAATTTGTTTATTTAGTGTTTTTCGATGATGCTGAGCAATTTTCTATTTGAAACCATGCCCTTTGACACAATATTAAAAAAGTTAATTACGCAAAAATAATTAACAACTTAATTATCACGGACTTTAATAATTTTTCTAAATAGGCCCCTGGCCCAGGACCAAAACAACAAGCCTTTTTTTGTTGCAATGCGTAGTTTTCGCAATATTAAATTTGTCCACCTTTCGTGAAACACCCTGCATAAGGCGAGTACACCACTGGGAAAATATCACAATATTCAATAGTGGCAACGTCTTCCATCGGTTTCAGTTATATACACAAACCCTCAACTGTATGCTTGGAACCACATACTTAGAAACAACTTGCCAACTGCCAAAAAGGAGAAAAAAAAAAAAAAAGAAAAAAAAGAAAAAGAAAAGCACACACGCAACATTGTATTTATTAAGGTTGCTGTGTAGAAGAAACAGAATATTGTGAGCATGGGCGGATTCAGACTGGTTCGCCTCCCTTAAATTAAGAACCGTTAATGAGAAGTCTCCTTCCGCTGGTGCATTTGATGCTGGGATGGCATTCACGAACTGCGCTACAAGAGTGAAGTACGGAAACATGTGCTGGGACAAGTTTCTGCATCACTCACCCATTCACTCTACACACACTCTGAGCTCCCACACATTTATGGGCCGTCTCGGAAAAAACGTTGATCCGGACCCAGAGATATACACATCAGGCCCCGGCATCCGCAGCCCCTGGAATCTGCATCCGAACCGCAATCCGCCAAATCGGATTCATTTTTATACGCATCTGCCAGTTCACTGCGGATATCTGCGGGTGATTTGTGGGTAATTCGTGCATATGCAGGGCTCTAGATATTATTAATGTTTGGTAACTGTGACTGATAAGGTAAAATTAGTCGTAATTTATCATTCTCTCTCTTTGGTCTCTATATTAAATTATCAACCCGAGAAACAGTACAGCTTTTCGATATTGAGTTATATACTAACTGTATGGGAGAGCCACGATTAATAAAAACCTCCCCTAGTGTTCTGGCTTTTTTTCTGAAGTCCTCCTCCACTGAACATAAACGTCTTAATCTTAGCATTTGACTATACGATATGCCTTTTTTTTTCATTTTGTATAGGATGACAACTTTTATAATGCAAGAACAGACATATCTGTAGACTTTCTATATTAAGTTGTTTTTAAATTGTTTTTACAATCTTTAGTTCAACATTCAGAAAGTCTATTTCTGTGTCAGGGTACTTGTATGTGAATTTAATATGTGGGTTAAAACCGTATGCGAAATTAATAAATTTGAGAAGTGTTTCCTCTGCAGTATTTCCAATTATAAATATATTGTTGAGAAAATGTTTATAAAAAAATGGTTCGTGTGGAAACGAGTTTAGGATACATTCTTCTAAAACCATCATGTAAATGCTCGCATAAGATAGAGAAAAACGTGATCCCATCACTGCGCCATGAATCTAAGTTATTCATAAACGTGAGAGTTCCAACGTTAAATGCATGAAAATATTTAAAACATCTTTACTCACAGGTAGTTCAGTAGTTCAGCGAGTTCATGGCACAGCAATGGGATCACATTTTTCTCCATCTTATGCGAACATTTACATGACGGTTTTAGAGGAATGTTTCCGACACTCGTATCCACATAAACCACTTTTTTATAAACATTTTTTGGACAATATATTTATAATTTAGAATAATACAGGAAAAACTCGAATTTATTAATTTCACAAACAATTTTAACTTATATATTAAATTTAAATACAAGTACTCTGACACAGAAATAGACTTTCCAAATGTTAAACTGAGGATTGTAAATAAAGAAATGTAAAGACTTTTTATAGAAAGCTAGACGTCAGTTCTTACATTATAAAAGTTGTCATCCTATACAAAACAAAAGAGGCCTACCATACAGCCAAATGCTAAGATTGAGACGTCTATGTTCAGAGGAGGACGACTTTGGAAAAAAAGCCAGAACACTAGAGAGGATTTTATTAATCGTGGATATCCCATACAGTCAATAAATAACTCAATATTAGAAGGCCGTGCTATTCCTTGGGTTGATAGTTTAATATAGTAGAGACCAAAGAGAGATAGTGATAAATTACGACTCATTTTACCTCATCAGCCACAGCTACCAATTATTAATACTACCCTTCGACGCCATGAATATTTTACACATGGACAAAACTTTAAGAACTATAGTTCCACAGCCGCCTGGTATCGCTTTTAAACAACCACATAATTTTATGGATATGTTTAGACAATCTAGAGACTTTATTGGACGTAGCACGGTCCACCTCGGTTGCACAAAATGTAATAATAATTGCTGTAATTTGTGTTTAGATTTATTGCTTGCCGACTACATTCGTAGTACAGCAAACAACTTTAATTGGAAAATAAATGATAGGCTTAATTGTAATTCAGAAAACATAGTTCATTTGGTGCAACGTAAAAAATGCCTAATTCAAAATATGGAGAAACTGGAAGAAGTGTACGAAAACGTATGAATCTACATAAAAGTCACATTCGTACACTTGTTCCCGGACCAGTTTCTTGTCACTAACTCTAAAGAACAAAATGAGGCTTCTCATTTTAGTTTAATTATACTTCAAGGTGACTAGAATCACCAAAGACTGGAAAAATAAGGAATCACAATTAATTTATAAATTTAATACCCTAGAACTGAAAGGCGTTAAAGGAACACTCACACCCCCCCAATTTTTTTTTTTTTCGTTGGGCAATTTATTGTGGTGTCAGAAAAGTCCGACAACTAAGCACTTCTTACGAGCTGTGAATGCGAAAGCATGAACGTCGTTCTTCCACTCCCTTAGTTCGTCTGCGGTGTACTGGCGTGGATGGCCACGTTTCGCAACAGCCAAGGTAGTGGCCGATGGCCGAGCGCGCGCTCTCATAAAGTGGCCGTGCTGCGCTAAGCTCGGCCGTGAAGCCTCTCCAGAGTTTGCCCGAGCGGGCTGTGCGGCCAGGACCGCACCGCCGCGCCTCTTACCGGCGGCCGGGCTGCTGCGTGCGCTGCACCGCCATGGAGAGCGCTTCTCTGGTGGCATTTTTTTTCACTACGCCGTGCGAGAGCCAATGGCAGCCTCGTTCCTGGATGACGCGCGCCAGCCAATGGAAGCCTGTCCATCAGATTTCTGCTACAGACGACAGGCTTCGCTCCACTGGGACAGGGGGGAAGGTGCCGTTTGGCGCGGCTTCAAAGCTGATGACGTCGGTTCGCTCCATGGGACAGTTAATGCTTTCGCATTAAAAGACTACCCAATCAATATTTTGCTACAGCGTCACATATATTTTTAAGTCAAAATATGCAACTGCTCGAATTGACAACTGGACTGGGGAGGAAGAAGAAATATAGAGGAGAGTGTTGCCAAAAATCACGTGACTGTGCACCCTTTTTTTAATTAACGATTATGCAGTTCACAAAAAATGGGTATCATATCTTGTTTATTTTTAGTATTGAGTGTGTACCTTCGATGACCCACGACTTTGATTATCTTTGGTGGTTGTGTCTAAACCAGGGGTGCACAACATGCGGCCCGCGGGCACTTTCTGTGCAGCCCATGGACATGACACAGTGAGATGTGCTCAAGACGGCAAGCAGTGCAATGATGCCAGATATTGAAAACCCCACGCAGTTCCCAATAAACATTTTTTTGGCCTGCGTCATTTCTGAGTTGTGCACCCCTGGTCTAAACCATAGAAAACGGCACATGACCACAGAGAAGAGAGTGAGCGCGACTCAAACTGGCCAGTTCTCGATCGGTGGTTTTCGGGTGGAAAGAAAACAAATTTCTAGCCACAAATTGTGTTCTGGGTAGTTGGGCTCTCAGGTGTCATGTACAAATAAAAACCTTGGCCATCATAAATACCCTGTCAGTGTCCCTTTAACATTTCTAAAGGAACATTACAGTCTCTTTTTCTTGTTATTTAATATAGATCTTCTAATCAATGCCGCACTGTTATTATTTTTTTTTCTTGCTTGTTTAATACGACAGAAGAAAATATTTTAACAAATGAACAACATATGACACCAGGTATTGTTGGCTTCACACCAATTACATGGCCCAAAACTGGTTTTACTTAGAATAACTATTTTTTTACAATTTAATAAGGCACTGAATATGAGGAAGGGACAAGGGATGGATAACAACGACAAACGACAACTTCCCTTGCCCCTTCCTCGTATTCAGTACACTTAACAATACTCTTGTCCTTTACGTTTAACAAGGCGTTTTCTTTTTTTAGTTCTATTGGGCCATTAGCTCCTGGACTAATTTTTCGCCAGCTCTCTTCCCTTCTCCTAACATTAATCCCCTAAATTCAATAATCACCCTCTTCCCTCTTCGTTCACAAAATTACTACAAAGCCAAGGCTGCACTTGTCAATCTTCCCTCACATCCATTATATTTATATTGTATAAGAAGAGAAGAGAGAGTGATTATTGTATTGCATTAATGCTAAAGGAAAGGAAAGGGAAATAGAGCTGGTGAAAAATTGGGCCAGGAGCGAGGATCGAACCCGCAACTTTCACCTATTTGGGGCAACGCCTTAGCCGATTAGACCATCCCGGCCACTGGTTTCAGTGGACTCAATTCTTGACCAGCTCTCTGAGCATTGTTAGTTTCGACTTTGCTGAACTGGTTCTTCCAACATATCTAGAGAACCACTCCTCCCCATGGGGAGAGGCTGCACCATATATATAATGGGAGACTGGGAGTGAGGGAAGATTGACAAGTGCAGCCATAGTAATATTGTGAACGAAGGGGGGAGAGAGTGATTATTTAATTTACTGTATATTTATTGCATTAATACAATAAATTCAATAGTATTTCTCTCCCCCCTTCGTTCAGAATATTACAACAATGGCTGCACTTGTCAATCTTCCCTCACACCCATTATTTATATATGTGTGTGTGTGTGTGTGTGTGTGTGTGTGTGTGTGTGTGTGTGTGTGTGTGTGTGTGTGTGTGTGTGTGTGTGTGTGTGTGTGTGTGTGTGTGTGTGTGTGTGTGTGTGTGTGTGTGTGTGTGTGTGTGTGTGTGTGTGTGTGTGTGTGTGTGTGTGTGTGTGTGTGTGTGTGTGTGTGTGTGTGTGTGTGTGTGTGTGTGTGTGTGTGTGTGTGTGTGTGTGTGTTCATAACATTCTTCCCGTTAATGGTTAAGGTCTTGGGCCCTGGCAGTTTTCGGCCAGGGTAAATAAACTATGCATTGCAGAAAGCTCACACTTTGTGAGAATGTGTTCTCTATGAGCCGACGTCCACCTAAGGCTACTATTGTTAAAACAAGAAATGACACTGTGGGAGCACGTAGCCTCTATTTCAGTGTGTGTGTGTGTGTTTGTAGGGGGGTCCGACGCCACTGGGGCGAGATGGGCTTGAAGGGGACTCTGCAAAGCCGCAGGAGTGCGGCAACTTACTGTCGACTGCAGGCCTTCGAAGCTGCTCACGAGGACCGGCACGAAAACGTAGTGGAAGCTCTCTTCAGGAGCAAGCCGGTCAACGTGCCTCGCTGCTAGACGTATGTGTCCAGCAGCACGACTTGCCCGTGCCGTGAAGTGGTCGAGGTACTGCTCTGCCGACTCCTGGCCACTTTCGTCTGAAAACCAAACATCTTTTAAGCACGCTAAGTAAGCTCATGGGGATCGCGTCGCAACAGGTGTACTACCTTTCACCAAAAACAAAAAATACCACTGCATCTTCGCGCTTGTTTCGCCCTGGCAAATACCACACAAGAGAAGCGAAAAACGACGCTTAAGCCAGAAGCGAAAGACAACGCGGTGAAGTCAGGTTCAAGTGCAGTTCGAGACTCTTCACGCACTCGCCGAGATGTAAACCTAGCATGAATGGGAGTAGTGCGGGGTGTGAGAAGCAAACTTCGAAGGCCGAGGCAGTTCGGCCTTCAAAACATTTTGAAACTCCTGCATGAGCCAAAGCCTCAGAATCAAGAGCTGCTGCAGCCCAGACACCCAGAACCTAGCGTCACTAAATAAACTACCAGAACCGTACGGCCGTCACGGCCGTACTACATCGCCTAGAACCAGGGCAGGCAGGGTAGGTCCCCCCAGATACACGGTCACGGTTCTGGCGGTTCTGGTCCTCCCGCGTGAAACGGTTAAATTAGTTTAGGCCAGGTGGCGCAAGCTACCACCCATTAAAAGGGCACAACCATTAGCATTTATCCATCCGTCCAGTTTCCCGCTCCTCCCTAACTTTGCTCAAAAGATTTCAATAACTAGGCTTGAAAATATTACACGTGACTGGCGCTCTTGCAAGCAAATGCATCCGTGAAAATTCACTTGATGGATTCTGTCGTTCGCCATTCTGTGCATCACTGACGGAAATCCACGCCTTCTTCAAGACAATTCAGGTAAAGACGTCTGTGGAATCCGCGTCCTCTTGGTCGTCCAGGCTGTCGTAGTCTGTCCTTGAACAAGTAAACTGACACATTTTTGTTGTCTTATCAAGCATGCAGGTTCGATGGGTGAGTCTAATCATTGTAACTCTGATCAGTTATGTCCTCCGTGTCCATATCTGATGGCGCTGTAGAGATAAATTTCCTCAATGCCCGGTTTCACACCATGCGCTCATTCTATGCAGCTCGACATTGCGGAGAGCTCAAACTCCGTCAGAAGTTTCAGCACCAACCGTTATCTTATTCAAAAGTGATATTTTGAAATTTTCAATGGGAAAATGGGGCCCATTTTCGCCCGTTATCGGTTTCTGGCATTGATCTCTATGTCTATTTGCTGGATCGCGTTTGCCCGCTGCGCGAATTCGGTCTCTGGTGGCCATCTTTTTTGTAGAGTTATATTACCTCTCGCCAATGTACAGCTGATGCAGCCACTATCATCCATCCATGGCAGACAGCGTTGTAGCAGGTGTAATGGCAGGCTGCCATAAAAATAGCCTTGGGTGATATTTCTTTCTTGGTTGAAATTGTTTAACGAAACATATTGTTGAAACCTGGCGTGAATGGTAGCCCGACCTTTGAAAACCCGGTGAAAGTTACACGAAGTTGCAGCACCGGGAAAAAGCAGAACAGCATGCATCGAAAGTCGCATCAAAACAAGCATCGAAAGCAGACGCCCCAGACGCCGATACGGCGTCTGTTTTGATGCAAGCTGCGTTGCTTTCCCCCAGTGCTACGCTTTCATAGAACTGTCGCCGGGTCCTCAAAGATGGGGCTACCGTTCACGCAGGGTTTCAAGAATCAGCTTCGTCGAACAACTTCAATCAGGCACGAAATATCACCCACGGTAAAGAGTACTAAACCCACGGCTATTTTTATGGCAGCCTGCCGCCATAGCGCTGTTCGCCATATTACTATGATGGCTAGAGATAATATAACTACTAAAAAGATGTCCGATTGTGGCCGCATTCCCGTCCATAGGCAGAGCTGGTCAAACACAATCCAGCAAATAGACATAAAGATCAGTGGTTTCTGGCGCCATAGAGCTCCATGTATTCGAGAGCTCCGTCCGCCACCATTTTTTCATTGAAATTTTCAGAAAATCGCTTATAACTTTCGAATAAGACAACGGTTGGTGCTGAAACTTTGGCATCTTGCTCGAATGACTGGGGCTGCGTTTTGACATAGTTGGAGCTCCCCGCAATGTCTAGTTCATTTTTGCGGTGCTACAAGCTGGGTTCGGATTTCTCACATACACCTGGGATATTTAATTTTTATTGCTATGGTTCCTCGACCACTCATTTTCCTTAGGAAGTGTGCAGTGCTTTAGAGATGCTAGTGGTCCTAAGGCGTCCCATTTGAACGATAAAACTTGACTATGCACCATGCCTGCTATGGGCCTTTATACTTTTCTTTTGAAATCATGATTCCAGATAATGCCGCGAACCTCCCGAGGTTCGTGTTTGGAAGGTTTATAATGTTGCACATTTTTTTGTTATTGATCTTTATTTTATTTTGATATTGATATTTATTTTTAACTGAAGAGGGCCTCGGTGCCACAAAAAGGCAAATCGCCCTTTGAGAGTAGAGCATGACAATAGCTGACCCGACCTACCTGCTCGTGCTTGCTATGTTATTATATTAATGTTCTACGCTGTACTGTGTCAAAAAATTATATTTTATAAATTCACCTTCTTTAATTTTAGGCCCAGTCACATAGATTTGGGATTGTCACCCTTTCATACATGGCAGTTGTAAACTTTCTATGGCAGTACTTTACACCAACTTGTGTTTACAAACAAACCATGCGCCCCTAGCGGCATGCCACCGGCGCCGCACATGCGCAATGGAATGTGGGCAAGAAGTGTGCCTTCTCGCATCAACAAGCCATTTGAAATGTGATGCTGTCGCCGTTGGTCGGATTCCTTGTGCACTTTTTTGCGTTGGAATTGTTGATTCTGCGTCTTCCTAGCGATACCTTACTTGTTTAGTGGTTTGAGTGAAACCAACAAGGCTCATTACACCACAAAACTTCACGTAAATAGTGTGATGTGCGACGATTCATATGTGTGAACGGTGCAGAATGGACGCTAAAGCCTGATTCACATGATGAAATTCTGCTTGCTATTTTCAGTTGCAAAGTCGCTCAGGCTGCACATGGTGTAGACAGTATTGCAGCGATGCTCGGCTTCGATACTGAAAATCACAAGCAGAATCGAACCAAGTGAATCGGGCATTACGAACTGGTGGTGGCCACTGGTAACAATGATCCACATCTCCTTGTATGTCCTGCTTACAACGATCCTACTTACCCCAAACACCCTTTAAACTTAAGTCTTTTGAGGCCTGCTCTTCTTATCCTAATTACCTGGCCAACAATTGATGTACAGGCCACGGTCATTTGAATGAGCCGACGTCAGTTTAAACAAGCAGACGAATTTCAAAGAGCAGACAACAGTTAGAATGTTCAGACGGTCGTTCCAATGAGACGTACTGAACGTGGTCCGTGGTTGGTCTGGACAACTTGATGGTTTTCCCGTGTTCATGTTGGAACAAAACAAATACATCTGATGGCCACAAGTATCCGTGAATTCATCCCAAGGTGCTTCCCGCACAAGCAATCGTGGCCTGAAGGTGGCTTTTTTTCCCTTTTCACGACGCCTATCACATTCTTCGACGAACCGAGCAGCAGAAAACACGGGAAAACTGATCTTCACACCTTTCCTTGCTTTTTCGGTACAGCCCCAGTCGCTGTGTTTTGACGAGAAAGTAGGTTTTAGTCTGGTTTCTTCAAAACAACACAGGAATGCCCCTTCCGTGTGGCGACTTCCGCCCATACCTTGAGACCGGAAGTGCGCCCGAAGTGCCACCACTGCGGCGTGACGTAACAGAGTTGAGTTGGTGTATACTAAACACAACCATTTGTGAATATTTGCCAAGTGCTTATGGACAGGCAAAAGAATGGTTTTGGGTTGACTGGAGATTCCGTGCACTTATCACTGAGAAAAATAATGGTAAGCTTTATTATGCATAAATATTAACCAAAACAAACCAAAAATTTCCTTTCTAAACAAAAAACACAACAAAAAAGTGTGCCAAATTTGAAAAAAAAAAAAAAAAAAAAAAAAAATGCCAAACCTTAGTTATATCCTTGAAAGTTTGAAATGTATTGAACCATTCAAACGCCTTGGTTCTATTTTAGAACCTCAGTTGCTAAAAAAACGTTAGCGTCGTCTCTAGTTCCAGAGGAAAACATGCTCGCGTTTCATGAACTGAAAGCCGACGATGACAGGCTTTCCAGCTAGAGGAGTGCTCGTGGTGTGCACTCGCATTTTCTGCCCGTACTTCTTGAACTGACGATTTCTGAAAAAGGCGTGCCATCACCAAATTACAAAACGTCGCAATCGAAAAGCTTGTAAAATTTGCATAGTAGGTTCAGTACATGTTTTTGGGCTTTCGCTGCTTCTCTACTTCTGCGTTTGACAGATTCAAAGTGCAACGCCAGCCAGTGAGCGTGTTTTAATTGAATGCATATATTCATTTGAGGCAGCAACAAATGCAGTTTGTTCCCATTTCTAACACAAGAATTACTCTGTTTAAGAAACCAGCAATGTTTTGAGATTTTCCCTTTGATCATCCTCGGCCGTCAATGTACTTGCTATTACGAACTGCGAGTTCGTCAGTACCACACTGGTTTTTGCATGCTGAGCTGCAACATTTGTGGACACTTCAATCGTGTTAAGTATTGTTATGTAAGCATACAATTTTGAGCTTTGTTACAGTTTCAGACTGCTTCAATCCTGTGGGGCTTTTCATTCGCTTGTCACAGGTTTTTGAGAAGTCACTTGGTGACCGTCCTACCCTCCAGGTATTGGTATTCTTTTTTTAGACTTTTGTACCATGGAAGCCTATGGTGCTCTCTGCCTGTGTGAGCTCGTTCTAGCCCTTCTGTGTAGCTACGAGGCTACAAGCAAGTATGAGTGTGTAGCTTTGACTGGGGTTTCCGCTGCACAAGCGCTCTTGCATTCAAGGTGCAAATTAACCCAAGGAGTGTGTGCTTGTAGCCTTTTGCAGTTGAGAAAGTGTGTTGCAACAGACCCCAACATTTGAGCTTCAGCAAACAAAAAACGTTCTACTGGCAGAACGAACAAATTTTCACATGCTCTTTAAATTTTTATAATTTTGCCACTGGGCCGAAATGGCACCTCAATTGCCTGAGGCCCTCTGGATAAAAGGTACACAACTTTTTTCCATTTAAAATGTTACCACTGCCATTTTAAGATTCCAAATATGTATGACTTTGTGGTGCGAGTTAACCAAGCTCCGTGGTGCGAGTTAACTAAGAGGAGGAGTATTAGACTTCATAGTAGGGCAATTCTGAGAAATATCAACCAAACATTTTCTATCCTGATTCTTGAATATTTCATTCTTTTTTTTTTTTTTGTTATCTCAGGTGCTTCATTAGCCAACTTAGATGTTTGGAGCACCTGGAGTTTGGTCCATTGACTATGCATGTGGATAGGTCCCTTTTTTATTCGGTGTGGGCTACCTACTGGTGTGGGCTGTAGAAAGATTTTTGGTCAAGATCGTGCCAGTTATTGGGCTTGTCAGTGTGTACTTGCTTTTATTC